GGGGAGGGGGGGATGGTCGCGTACGATTAGGTTAGGTTTGGATAGTTACATCAAAAACCAAAATCGATTTTGCCGAAAACCGGGTTTCCGTAAAAATTCGCTTTTTTTCCTTAATTTTTTTTGTTTGTTTTTCCTGCCGCTTTTGAAAACTATTGAGAATTTTTTACTTTTGACCCCTCGAAGTACCAATACTATTCACAATTCTAACAAAAAAAATGCTTGTTGAAGAAAATCTAAGCACTTTTACTCTCCCAAATTAACGTGATGACAGAAACAAAAAAAATAAAAAAATAAATTGTAAAATCAATACATTCATCGCTCCGCTCGGAATCTAAAAGAAGTTAAAAAGTTAAAATTTACATAACTTTAATTTTTTAACTCGTATACACCCAGGTTTGAATAACTACAAAATTTTAGAATATTTGAACGCCTGTGTCTATTTGTTTCATTACTATTTATTATATTATATAAAGATACCTATACTAGTATAAAAGTATATTTTTCATAATCACTCGTACAGAGTGATTACTTTTTAGGATAGTGAGTTTACCACTCTGTGAACATTTTTGTTTTTTGGATACAACTATAATATAGTATAATATTAATATATTATAATAGAATAATGAAATATATATAACACTAAATTAATAGTGTCCTGTAACTGCTAACTTTGGATTTAAAAAAAATTAATAGTTATAAATTAAAATTGTGACTTATGAGTAATCACTTATAACGGGTATTTCTAAATTAAACCGTATAATGAATGTCTATTTCAAGTACTTAAAAATAGGTTATAGTTATAAAATTACCCTACGATTAGGGAGCAGAAAAACGACGACGACGAGCGGCGTTTGTATATATTATTTGATCTCTCGTATTTTATGCATTTGCTCTGAGAAATAAAATATGTGTGTAGGTACATAGGGGTAGCATATTTTTCATGAAATTAAATTTTTATTTAAAAAATAAATTTAAGCACCAAAAAAGTATGAAACCAAAATTAATTACTTTACGACGCTTTCGGGCTTCGGCGGAATTCCTGATATTGTGTGTACACTGCGGAATAAATCAGATATACGACTGAACTCAAGTCTGAAAATATTGAGATTTATTATGAAAAAAAAACCGTACGGATCACTTCGTGTTTCTTGTTTATGTCTGCAGCTTTGCTAACTGAAATTTTAGATCGATTGCGTCTTTGCAGCTACTTCACAATCGCCAAGGATTGCATTATAATTTATACTACGTCAATATAATAAAACTATAGATATATAGTATATTACAAAATTGTACATCAAGGATCAAGGAGGTCCGTGTTTGAGATTTGATGATTAAGATAATGAAATGAGGTATAACAATAACCAAAATAGTTTATAATTTTAAAATTTAAATTAAAACAATATATAAAGTACCTATTATTTTAATTTTTAATTTAATAATTAATTAAGGTGGTGTTTAAATATTCGAAGCACAAGCATATTTTTTTATGAGTTATTAAATAAAAATCTTATTGTAAATAAATGTGATTGCTACTTTTTAGATTTAACATAAAGGTATTCAGTGCCCAATGCATCACATTTACCGTATACCGACTATACCAACTATAGTTTGTAAAATTCCAAGTTCTTTTCTCTGAATACTGTCGAGCACGGAATTAATAATTAATATTTTATGTATTCATATTTCATTTTGAGTGCATTGGTTAGGTATATTTTAAGCTATTCGAGAATATTTAAAATGTAAAATTTCCTTGTTTAATTTCCGATAGATATTCAATAATCAGCAGAGCGACTTTCCCAGCTTTATAAAATAATTTGATATTTTGATGTACGACGGCGTCACTTTAATTCGCGGTTCGACCACAAGCAGACGGCATACTGATATTCGTATATTACTCAACATTTATATAAACTAAAAATAAAAATTGTTGAATTTTGCGGGACATAAGAACTCCCGTGTACTGTACTGCTGTAGTATGACTAGTATGTACAACACTCTTTACCTCTATTTAATTGTATAAATATGTTATTATTCTGTGACCTGGATATGCCATCGTCGTTTGTGCTAGAGTATTTTTTTGTGTTGAGAGATCGGGAATAAAAAATATGCCCCTACTTCACCCGAGTAGCAAATTGTCTGTGGCAATAAATTTTAATTTAGAGACTTAAAAGTAAAATATGTAAGCCCCAAAAGAATAGGTAATCAAACCTACGTATACTTCGACTTTTCAGGTAATATATAGCTGCAAGGCCATATTTTGAGTGTAGACGCCATATCGAGGAACTCTTCTTTCTTCAACTAAATCTGAACTGAAAAATCGAGATTTTTATAACAATTACTTGAGTAGAATGAAATATGTGAGTAAATGTTCATTGTTGCCTTACACATTTCTCTTTTGTTCAATGAAATTATTAGAATTGTGAATCGTCTCCGACGAGTGACGACGATCGGCTTTTGCCATAGATGATAGATATTATAATATAATATGTTGTTATCAGTTTTCGAGTTTTTGAATTCTTTGGATGACACGATACTTTTTTTTATTTCAAATTCCGAAACATAATATTATTTGGAGTGTTTAAATCTGTACAATTCAGAACACGGAACTCTGCGTATAAGCCATTTAGATACACTACTGTCGCGAGTCCATTTTTTTGTCCGGCATCTCACAATATTGTTTTTAGTCTTAACGGTTAAACTTTAACTTAATATAAAACTCTAGANTGTCGAGACATGAAAAAAATTCAAAATTAGGCTTTGAAATTTACAGAAGTGATAAAAAAATGGATACTTTAATCGTGAATATAAAATATTCTCTCTAGGCTAGGCATTAAAATGTTATCAAACAATATTATTCTATAATAGTGTGCAGTATTTGCTAAAACATTGTGTGATATACTTAATACTTATACTACTACACTATAGTGTAATAAATAATGTAATGTATACACAGCCGTGTAGGTACCTAACTAAAGCTCTCACATAAAGGTAAGTGATGGGGGAAAGAACCTTATGACCAAGGTTCGGGACTTATATTATGATTAGTATGATTTTGAACTCGAAATTATAAATAAGTTAGATGCTATTTGCAAAATGTTAGCAGCATATTTCAATTCGTAGTTAAACAGGGGATGTAGCATGAAGTTGCCCCCCATCTTATATTTTTCATACCTTGTAGGTAATTTATTTGCAAATTTTGGTAGTATCTTGAAACCGCTAGCTACATATTGGGGGGCTGCGTGAAGTTGCCCCCCCCCCCCCGTCTTATTTTTTTTATTCCCTGTGGGAAATTTATTTGCAAATATTTGCAAAATGATAACATAACTTTCAAAAAAATTGCTCATGGTGGTTCGGCCAACTTCACGCACATGGGAGGCCATACTATAGCATAGGTCTTCCGTGGTTGAGACGACAACAATTATCCGCCGCCCTGATTTGTTCTTACCTAACTTACGTTTTTTGTCTAACGCCTAAACGTACGGGACGTCGGGACACCTACTCAGAAGATTCCTTGTGCATCAATTTGAGCATTTATGCCATTTGTATTCAGCAGTGAATACTGCATTAAACATTGTTTAACCGATGAATTCCGTAGGATCTGGTCGTTATTATTATTGCAATATTGCATATATGAAACAAAATAGATGTAAATATCATGCTATCGAATGCAAATACGTAGCAATTTCTGTTCTTGTAAAAAACTAAAATATTTGTACTGCATAGGTACACTATGGATTATGCATAATAATATTATATGGTCCTGCATCAAATAAATAGTTCATTTATTTAATATATATTTATGTGTAACCATACAATTAAGATATAGGTACTTACATGAACATAATATTAGCAATATACAATTTAACGTTACTCATTCAATTTAGAGTGTATTAATTATGAAAAACAATATCATATCATAACATTGAGCATTACTGGGCAGGTTAAAATATTGTCTTTTATTTACTATTATGTATTTTTGAGTAAATGTATTTAAATCTAACTGCAGATTTGTGTTTAACTTGTTATATGTATATTATAATGGACAGTTGATGTGAAAACAAATAGCAGGGTACATCATTGACATTTTATTTGATCTATTTAATAATCTATTCATATGGCCGTCGATGAACTTTTCTGTAACTATTTCACATTACATAGTTGCAGAATTATTTATACTGCATGAAACCCAGACAAATTATGGTGATTTAAACTAACTTAACCAACCAACCACAGCAAAGGATTTAAGCGTTCTTGTATATTAATATAATCTGTAGTATAACCGGCCCTTGGGTCTTCGACGAAGTGACGCAGTGGAAGTTCTAGATTCGCGCTTGCATCCACTTCCCCTAGGTCCACGCCTTGAGGGACCCGGTGATTAGGCTTTCGTATCCAGTCCATTTTATTTTAGTTCGTGGACGGAAACCGAATGTGGATTATGATCTGTAGCCTTGTGGCCTGAGGGTACAACCATTGATTTTATAATATATATTATAGTATATTATAAAATCAATGGCACAACTCATGGATTTTACTCGGTCTTCACAAACTCCGCAGAATTCGTTTTAGTGGTATCGTACTATCGTACTATCGTAGTATCGATATTGTTCTGTGGTAGTATCACGGCTTTAGATTATGGTTACCATCATGAACCATGGTTGTGATAATTCCTCTGTAAAAACCACAGACATTTATATATATTATTATATTATGTCTATGACTAAAACTCAGTTGTGATAAGCGAAGAATTTGTGTTATTAAAAATGTATACTTTATTGGTACCTATCAATTATTATAAATTATAAATATTCATTATTATTCATAACTTACAACTTTTAAGTATAAACTTCGTTGACTTTCGGCGATCGGTTTTGGTCGTTTGTGTTATCAAATTATCTGTTTGTCGTGTGTATCGCTTCTCAAAAATGGTAAGCATGAATGTCTCATCTATTTACTTTAACGAACACATTTTGGTACACATATAATATAATATTATACGTGTTAAACAATAATTCCCATGCTATTATAACGATTATTTTATGTTGAAACTCGATTATTTTTCCATATTAGTCTGATATCCAAATGGACTGTGCTCTTGATCTTATGCGGCGTTTACCGCCTCAAAAAATTGAAAAGCACTTGAGTGATCTCATCGACCTAGTTCCGAGTTTGTGCGAAGATCTATTGTCTTCTGTCGATCAGCCGTTAAAAATCATACGAGACAAACAAGTTGGCAAAGATTTTTTACTCTGTGATTATAATAGAGATGGGGATTCATACAGGTAAGTCGTTTGATAATGTAAATGATATATTTTTAATGACATAAATAATCAGTCTGTTACAATCACCTTTTTAGATCACCCTGGAGTAATACATATTTTCCACCGCTGGACGATGGTGCTGTCCCAACTGAAAAGTTGCGCAAGCTCGAAATAGACGCTAATATGGCTTTTGATCAATATAGAGAAATGTATTTTGAAGGTGGTGTATCTTCTGTTTACCTATGGGATTTAGACCAAGGTTTTGCTGGTAATAAAAATTTATTATTAACTTGACAATACTATAGATTTTATAGTTTGTATAGTGACTTTTGAGTACCGCCTACATAATACGTTGATAATGATAAAAGAATAACCTCATCATATATTGGGTAATTCTTTTGTAATTATACACTTTAAATTCAAACAATTTTAATGTTTTTGAAAATATTTTTTTACATCTTACAAGCTTTTACAAAATAAATTTTTGTATAAAATTCTATTTTAAAATCTAAAAAAAATTAGCCAGATAGTAAAAATTGTTATTGTTATAAATTTTGTATAAAAATATTAATATTTAAAAATACATTTTTTAAATTATTTTTTATTAGGTGTTATATTGATCAAAAAGGTAGGAGATGGATCGAAGAAGGTTCGTGGTACTTGGGATTCTATACATGTAGTGGAAGTCCAAGAAAAAAATACTGGTCGTAACGCACATTATAAACTCACATCAACAGTTATGCTGTGGCTGCAAACTAATAAAGCTGTGTCGGGTAGTATGAGCCTGGCAGGCAGTTTGACCAGGCAAACAGAAATGGACAGTCCGGTGTCAGATTCATCACCACATATAGCTAATATTGGGCGTATGGTTGAGGATATGGAAAATAAAATGCGTAATACTCTGAACGAAGTATATTTTGGAAAAACTTGTGACATTATGAATGGCTTACGAAGTGTAGTGCCATTGAATGCCGACGATGAAAATAAAGAAGCATTGAGACAAGACTTAACTGCTGCCTTACAGAAACGACATACCAAGTCTGATGCAAAAGATCCCACTAATCCAACTAGTAATTAGTAATAATTGTATTAAAATAGATCTTCCAATATTTTTTATGAACATACTGGACTTACTTTTATTTCACTAAAAAAGTATTGGGTTTAAATTAATTCAAATGTGGCCTAATCATTTAACATTTTGTTACTTTTGATTCACCTATTTAATATGTTATGATGTTATCAAATCGTTTATCAATGATTTAAATTATGGTTCCCTAAAGTAATTTCTTATTATTTTTTTTTCTTTAAATAATAGAATGTTTGGTTTCTACCAATTTTTTTGAAAGTACTCAGCCCTATTAAATTTGAATTGCTTATTATTATGCTTGAGACATAATTTTTGTATAATTATTGAGTTGAACACAATTTTATGTTACTACTAAATGTACTATGTTCAAGTTATTAAAAATAATTATAAAGTTTTACGAATTATACTGTTTCTGAAATATTGTTTAGTGTTTACATATTATCAAGTATCGACTTCTAAAGTTAACATAATCTTATACAAATATTATATTCTGTTGATTGAATTTATGTTGTAGGTCTGCATTCTACATACATCATTCAAAATATATTATTTAAGTCACACTTAATAAATTATAGAACTTAATTATTTCATAGGATTAAAAAAATAATAACATTTGTATGATTTAATATATATTTATCAAAGTTAATTAATAATGAATTCAATATATAGGTAATATTTTTTAAACATTTTTGTGTATAATATTTATTTATTTTTATTTTTTTCATTACATTTTTATTTAAGTATATAATAGTCCTACCGCCTATTAATATATTATATATTTTTAGTTACTCATCATCATTTATTTAATAATTATACTACTATTCAAATTAAATAACATTGTATTTATTGATATGATTAAAAATGTTTAACAAATGTTAATTTATTTAATTTTTATTAAACTCCTTATAATATTACCATGATCATCATGTATCAATATGTGTAGACTCAAGATGGCTACAACATTTATCTCGGCCACTAATGAATATTTCTTATTTTTTTCGTCTGTTTAAGTGTATAACAAACATTTTACCCTAACATTTAGCCTAAAAATATAGACATATCTACAATCTAAATACTGTTTATTGGTCACCGGTTACCAAATTAAATGGTAAATAGAAGATATCTGTCCATTCAATAAATACTGAAGTTTTGTAATAACCATTTTATTTAAGCCATTGTAATCACTAATTACTAAAATAGAACATTTTATACAGCATGGGAAGCTGAGTTTTATCCAAGAGATTCCAAAATAAACTTCTGTAAAAAGTATTAATTCATTTTTTTTACTGATTTCTAATGCATTTAATTATTGTTTGCTTGATTCCTAAAGTGCTCTGCAGTCTGCGATATTACTATTTTCCCAGTGAATAATATATTATCAAGTCTATTAACAAGTATATGTCTTAAAATGATAATGTGACTAAAAAAAAATGTATTTCCATTCGCAAAAAGATAATGTATGAATACAATTGTAATTTTAAAGTTTTAACGACAACAATCTATATGGCTACTTCATACAATTTTTCAAAGCTTGCAGATAGATAATTAAATGGTAGATTTTCCAAAATCTTCTATGTTTATTCTTCAATACGGTAAAATATGTGGTAATTAGTTATTCAATTCCCATTAATTTAAGGCAATGTACAATTGTGAACATTTAATAAATAGATAAAATGTTACTGTAATGTTTCAAAACGAGAATCCAAGTAATTAGATTTCTGCATAATAATTTGTAAGATAATTATATTAATTTCTTTGAATTATTTTACATTTTACCTACATTTTTATTAAAGGTTCACTTGGATTGTTAATTTTTGACTTTTTGCACAGAACAATTAATTGGTTTCTGCTTTAAATAATAGCATATTGTTATGTGGTAATAGATATTATATTAATAAATAATTGTTAATCATAGACTATAATATACTACAACTGATTTTTCCTGTAGTTGCAAAATTGTAATAGTTAACACTACGAAACTCTAATAAAAAATTTTTAAAAAAATTCTTAGTTCTGGATATCACGGTTATGGTTATCTACACGTCGTGCATCTTTTTCGGCGGCGGCCCAAGACTGATAATAGATAAGAAATATAAACATTCAATAATGTTTACTGTGCATATTTTGTATTATGTGTACCGTTTGAACGCCAAACGATAGCGTGTATTACGTTTATTTTCTTAAGTCTCCAGTTTCAACTCACATAAAATTCAATATAAAATAAAAAATAAAATTCCTTGGTGGGCTGTGGTGCAGTTGAAAGTGTTGGTTTTTGCGATTTGTCCGGGTTCTGTAAAAAATGGATAAGAGCAAAAATCCTTCGGCTAGTCCGACGCCGGTGTCAAAGTCGGAGAAAAAGGAACCTCTCTCGCTTGAGGAACTTTTGGCCAAGAAAAAAGCCGAAGAGTTGGCCAGAAGCAAGGTAAGTGCACTTTTGATTTGGTCTTTTGGCTTTGATTGCGGGGTGGCTCATGCAAGTTTTTTTCGACGTCTTTTTCAGCCGGTGTTTTTGACAAAAGAACAACGAGCCGCTGAAGCACTGCGGAAGAGACAAGAGGAAGGCGAACTGGTGAAGAAGAAGCAGGAAGAGGAACGCAAGAAGCGCTTAGAGTTCTTGCACCAAGCAGACGGCGGGCATGGTAGTAACAATCACAGGGACGATCGGTATTAACTGATTTGCTGTCATTTAATAGGACATAGTTGGATTACATACACATTTTTTTTTCAGAGATCGTGACAGAGATCACCATCGAGACCGAGATCGAGATCGTGAACGTGAAAGGGATAAAGAACATGACCGCCGAGAACGAGAACGTAAGAGGGATAAAAAAGAAGAGCCCGAAGACAAGGAACAGTTCAAAGACAAGGAGAAGGAACAGGAAGCTATACGAGAGCGTTATTTAGGTTTGACAAAGAAAAAAAGACGTGTTCGTCGGTTAAACGATAGAAAATTTGTTTTTGACTGGGACGCGTCTGAAGATACGTCAATTGATTATAATGCTCTGTACAAGGAGCGTCATCAAGTACAGTTTTTTGGTCGTGGTAATGTAGCAGGTATTGACATTAAAGCACAAAAAAAAGATCAATCCAAATTTTATGGTGAGCTTATGGAAAAACGTAGGACTGAAGCCGAAAAAGAGCAAGAAAAGGTGAGGCTAAAAAAAGTAAAACGAAAAGAAGATAAACAGAAATGGGATGACCGACACTGGTCAGAGAAAGAATTGGACGAAATGACCGAGAGGGATTGGAGAATATTTAGAGAGGACTAAAATATAACTATTAAAGGTAATTTTGGAAACGAATCCAGATTTCAATTTCATTCTAAAGTAATGAAAGTAATGATTAGTATATATATAAATTTATATTCAAGGTGGTAGAATACCAGAACCTATTCGTAAATGGAAGGAATCTACGATTAAAAGTGAGATCATGGATATTATTGAAAAAGTCGGTTACAAGGAGCCTACACCTATTCAACGACAAGCTATTCCCATTGGTTTCCAAGTAAATAGTTTTATTTTAAAGTTTGTCTTGTGCTTATTACATTCCCTATTATTTATAGAATCGTGACATTATTGGTGTCGCTGAAACTGGTTCAGGTAAAACCTTGGCGTATCTCATACCACTTATTGAATGGATTCAGTCTTTACCTAAAATGGAAAGAATGGAAGATGTTGATCAAGTAATGATTTTTATTACTTTAATTTACTAAAATATATCCCAAGAATATTGAGAAAATTGTATTTTAAATTATTGTTTTAGGGTCCTTATTCAATTATATTAGCACCAACCCGCGAGTTGGCTCAACAGATAGAAGAAGAAACTTTGAAATTTGGACAGCCATTGGGTATTAGAACTGTAGTAGTTGTTGGAGGTTTGTCTAGAGAAGAACAAGGATTTAGATTACGATTAGGATGTGAAGTAATTAACATATTACAATACAATTTAATATTTTACTACTTTTTATCTTATTTATATGTTGATCTGTAGATTGTTATTGCAACACCTGGTCGTTTGATTGATGTTCTGGAAAACAGATATTTAGTTTTGAACCAATGTACATATATAGTGTTGGATGAAGCAGACAGGATGATAGATATGGGTTTTGAACCAGATGTGCAAAAGATTTTGGAGTACATGCCCGTGACGAATTTGAAGCCAGATAACGAGGATGCTGAAGACGAATCCAAATTATTAGCAAATTATTATTCAAAAAAAAAATATAGACAAGTAAAATGAAGTTTAATTGATGAAAAACATTGATGACTTATAATAAATTGTTTTGATTTTGTTAGACTGTGATGTTTACCGCTACTATGCCTCCAGCTGTAGAACGTTTGGCCAGAACATATTTACGTCGTCCTGCTGTCGTTTACATTGGATCCATTGGTAAACCTGTAGAACGTACAGAACAAATAGTCCACATGATGAGTGAAAATGATAAGCGTAAAAGACTTGTTGAAATTCTCAGTCGTAAAGTTGATCCACCAATTATTATATTTGTCAACCAAAAAAAAGGTGCCGATGTGTTGGCTAAGGGTCTGGAGAAACTCGGGGTAAATATAATGTTTAGTTATAAATGTTATGTTTGAGTACTATGGTTCAGAAATGAATTAATATAATATATTAATTATGTTTAAGTATAACGCATGTACACTTCATGGTGGTAAAGGACAAGAACAGAGAGAGTTTGCTCTGGCAAGTCTCAAAGGTGGCCAAAAAGATATTTTGGTTGCAACTGACGTGGTTGGTCGTGGTATTGATATCAAAGATGTGTCTATGGTCATCAATTATGACATGGCTAAATCCATTGAAGGTAATTTAATTGGTCTTCTAATACACTTTTTGAAAAGGCCAATCAAAAATACAACTATTATTCTAATTATTGGATTTTACATTGTTTATCCTCTAGATTATACTCATCGTATTGGACGTACGGGTCGTGCTGGAAAGACTGGAGTAGCAATTTCGTTTTTGACAAAAGATGATTCACCATTGTTTTATGATCTCAAACTAGTCATACAAGCTAGTCCAGTATCAACTTGTCCTCCAGAGTTGGCAAATCATCCAGAAGCACAACATAAGCCCGGCACTGTAATGATGCCCAAAAAGAGACGAGAAGAGAAAATATTTGCTTGATTTTAATATAATTTTAAAAATATTTTAATACTTAAATATAGTAACTCAAATAATAAACAAATTATTTTATTTTATGAAAAATTTATTTTTCATCCCATTTATGACTTTTTGTAAGAATAAAATTTTTTGGATTAGTTACAAACAAGAATGTACACAAATTGAAATTACAATGTCCAACATCTAATCCATTCGAGTTTTGATATCACGCACGATTATTTTGTCTTTTTTACTGAAATCCAGAAAATGATTTATTATATTAACTGTCGAGATATTTAAATGAAGAAAATCATTATACTTTTTTAAGCAAAATAGTTTTACTCACATAATGTAAACCTTTGCGCCCCAACCGGAAATAGCGTCACGATTGCAAGCACTAACCAAAGCTTGAGATATAGTTTCAAATAGTTGATCCTCTTCCATATCAGGCTCCCAAAGAGCTTCACAAAGACCGTACAATTGACTTGAACTAGTACCTCCCACCACAAAGTTATCAGACTTATTTACACAGCCTATTAAATCCATGTCGCACATATATGGTTCCAATGTCACTTCATCCAAAGCAACAATCATTGGTTCGACAAAGAATGGTGAAAATCTGTTACAAAACAAAATGAAAACTAGAAAATGTAAACAGCATTAATTAAGTAAGAGTTACTTTACATTATAAATAAAAATTTAAGAAGATTTAATATTATACAAAAATCAAATAATCACATAAATATTATATGTTGAAAGAGCTGAATAGAAACAATTATAATAGGTTTATCAAGTCTATGAGATTTAAAAAAAAGGTTATTATATATTATTATGCATTTATGTAATAGCAACAAATTGAAAGCTTTTATAAGTCAGTGTATATACAAATAAATAATAAAAAATACTTAAATATAAAGCATAAGACCCTGACTAGATATAATTTCACATTATGATGTGTTGTTGACAGATAAAAGTTGGGCATAATTTTTTGATGGGAATCAATGCAAATACTTTTATAAACATAATTGAAAATAATGATTATCAACCATTTTAAAGTAACACCCAACCACTACAAATAAAATTAAAATTTTTATTCGTTTAAAAATGCATAGGTTTTGTCATGTTTGGATGATCTGCAAGGGGTTCAAGAAGAACCAGTGGCGTGCCCAATGGGGGTGGGGGTTAGGGGTTATATCAGCCTCCATTGACTTTTTTTTGATGACTTCAACTTATTAGATATTAGATATTACTTTTGATGAAGTCATTAATGAGATGAGTAAAAAATCTAGGCGATTAAACTTCTGTTTTGAATAGTTAATTTATTTTTAACAATATTTCTTTTGTATATTTTTCTAAGCTTGCTATTAATTTGTGTAATTTAAAAATAATTTACCTGTTTTCATACAACAAATTGGAGACTAGGGATGCTAATGCTTTAGGAGATATTTTCCGATTCTCTTTTAACTCGTATAACCTTTTCCTGAACATGATTTTCTCGTACACGGTAAATATATCTGTAGCTAAACCAGGAAATCCCATATATGTGTGAGGATTTATTTGAAAGACTTTCTATAATTCAAAACTAAAACAATTAAATATAGGTGATATAAACAATAATAATAAAGAAATAAAATAAAACATACCGTGAAATCAAGAGACACTGTTTGAGCTTGTATGCCAAATCGCTTATCAGTTGCAATGGCAACACAGTCTTTGCCTTTCATACCAATTAACGCACCACCATTATAGTCCATGATACTCTATAAGTATAATATGCAAAACAGTTATACAATTTATAATATGCTTATAAAAACCATATATAATGAATAAAATAGTATAAAAGAGTTGTATTTTCACAAGATCCTGAGCTTCTTTAAAACAAAACAAATGTCATAAAGACTAAACTAACTTTTATTAAAAGAAGAGTAAAATAAATTCAATTAAGATTTAAATACTTAATTAATTATATACTGATCTTTGCACACGCCCACTTACCTCTGTATGATTTTTTTAAGAATTTATAGCCTATGATAAAGGTCATATTATTATATCGATATACTTAATATATATAGGTAGACAAAATATTTTAAATAGTATTAGGTAACATTTTAGAATACAATTTAGGTAATTTATGTTACCTATTTTCAAACATCACTATTTTAATAACTAGGTATCTATTTAAACATACCTAACAACTTAAGAAGTATTTAGGGAGTTATTATTAATGTTTGTAACTTTATCATTGCAACAATGAGAGTAATAAATTATAATGTATTAAAACATTGAATATTAAAATGCTTAACCAATTTAAACAGATTTCCTATTGTATCGAAACACGCAATGTGAATATATCCATTAGTTTATGTTTATCAAAATACATTATCAATCAATACTTTACCATTTTGAAAGAAGTAGCTTATGAAACTCTGCAATTGAAAAGTTTAGAAAACGAGAGTCCAAACAACAGTTAAGACTTTTTTAAAAACACTAAAAAGTGTCAATTCATTATCAATTATTATTTATCACTAGTGTATACATTAGTAGATAAACTCGAACATAACTCATACACAAACCTCCAGGGAATCGTTTATAACATCAACGCCAAACCTCTACAGAACTATGGAACATTTATTATTATATTATAGAAATTAGAAGCAATAGAAGCGAATAAGCGATCAAAAATCAAAATAGTTGAAAATTCAAAACAGGTACCATTGTTCACTGAAAAATATTTCAGTTGACTCCCATTGTGCGTAACCAATTTTTTTATCTTTCTCATGCACTCAAAGAAACCGGTACGTATACCCTGTGAGAGACAAAAATAAAAAAGTTTGTACATTTGGATATACTTTTTAATCTACTAGGTACTAATTTTATTTCTTCTAAATCAAAATTCAATTTTGTCCGTGTAAGACAGTTTTTTGCAACCAATATAGATCCCGATCAGATACTTTCTGTACAAGAAACCCATTTTGTTGAATTAGTTTTAGCAAGCCATTCCAATTTAAATACTAATAGTTACTAATATTAATATCAACAATTGAATAATGATTATATATTCTATAAATTGATACAAATTATGACTTTTTACTTATTAGACATCATTGTACACCATAGATATATCATATATACAATAAACATTATTCTATATTTATATACCTGTGTTGTACGCTGACTATCAAGTTGGCTAGATTTTTTTTTAAATTTGAACATTTTTTAATTAGGCATTGATTATGGATTTAAGAGTGAATATATTAAAAAAATTAGGGGGACTTAAATGTCTTAAATAAAACTAGAGGGGGTTTCGCAGTAACCACGAGTATTTTGCAAGCCCGCACAAACGACCGGCATCCTCCGCCACATTGGATTCGGTCAGGATTTTCGACTCTGCAGTTGGCAATAATTGTGGACGACGGCGCTTGGATTTCCTTTTCATGTATCATCATTCATCACCCACCTAATATTTGGCATGAAAAAGTAGCTTTTCGTCATTCGACTTGTAGCATAATAGCTATTAGCTAACACGTCTCTTGCAAATACGGAAGATTTGATAATAAATGACAATAATTATAATTGGTTTGATATAATATACGTAATACATGATAGGTATAGAGTATAGACAATAAATCGTTCTACAATTTTCTTATAGGTCCCTTTAAATATAGATCAAAAAGAGTCAAAATTGTACTAGAAAATACAATAGAAAATACATTTTAAACATTCGATGAAAAATGCACGTAGGTATACAATATACATACAGTATAAGGTCATTTTTTTTAATTACACCAAAACACAAAATTGATTTTTTCAAAAACTTGTTTTGGGTACAAATCTCAGTTTTTTTACATGCTTTGTTCGTTTTACCTGACGTATCAATCTAGATTCATTTTCCTATCAGAAAAAATGCCGTCGAAGAAAATCGAAGCAATTTTATTATATTCTAAATATACGTCAGTAATTTATAGAAAATACATACCAAATTAGGTACGTACATAATATAATAATATTTATTTTCAAAATTTATTTTTATTTTTAAGCCATATAGTTAGGTTAGGTTAGTTATATTAGTATACTACAGAATAATTATTCTGTATTTCCATAGCATAATATTATTATACAATAATATAGAAACGATTAAGCGTCAAGCGACACCATAATCTGCATTCTAAATTTCTGCAACACAATGCAGGCATACACTGGGCGTATTTAGGGGGAGAGGGGGGAGGGGGGCAATCGCCCCGGGTGCCAAATTATAAGCCCCTTCAAGGGGCGCCGAGCTAGAGGTTACATTATTAAACACATATGGCCATATTATGACTACGTAAATACAAAAAAAAAAAATAATATCTATAAAGCTTATGGTATAATTTATTTTATGTTTATTAATTAGGTACTATATTTTATACTATATCAATAAGAGAAAATATATGTATTTTTGTTTATCGTTTTTAATGACAAGTAAAAAAAAATTAATTAAGGAGAGCTTAAACAATTTTTTAGGGGGGGGGGTAAGGGCGACAATACATTTTTGCACCTAGGGCTCCGAAATCGTAAATACGTCTCTGGGCATACAGATATAGATAATAAAATGGATTTTGGATACTGCTTTCTATTGAATGTTACATTCGTATTAGTGATAAATAATATTATATTAGCGTATGAACAAATAATTTCAGTCTCCCAAATTCAAACGTCTTTTTACTTCTATGATATTATATATAATTACTTACTTACCTATAAATTATTAAAACTCATGATTTATAAACTATCACGTTTTATATAATCATCGCGTGAAGCCGGCTTGAAAACTATAATTAGTTAGGTACTTAGGTTGTAATTGTGACATAGGTTGTAATGCAGTAGTTAGAACTATTGACTATTTATTCTATACTCTATACGATTATACAATTTATACCTAGTCTATAATACTATTATACTATATAGACTAAATTACTATATAGATTCTATAATTTAAATAAGTATACTTATAAGTTGTACTGTATTAAACCCAATGTTTTTGAACGCCCGAATGAGGACTTCCTGTTGAGCCATTATAACCCAACAGAAAGACATTAAAAGTATGTCTGGCATGATCATTACGTACATAGTAAATACTGCTACCGCTACTTCAATCAAATAAAATATGTAATAATATTGATTGAAAGTGTGAGTTGATACAGGATAACGTAAGTTCAAGATGTTTTGGAATCGGGTATTTTCGTCTTCGGGCTTTGTGAATGCGATGACCACGAGAGGAAAAATAATCCATTGCGACATCACTGTCGTCGAGAGTAAGAAAAAGTAATTGGAGATTTTAATCGATTTGTCGCGATTGTCGTAAAGTACGTTTACATTTTTACAACAATGTTTACTGTTCAAAAAATCAATTCGCGAAATGCTGAACAAGTCATGAATGGGGTCTGCATTGTACAAAAAAACGCAAATCCTCCAATAGCAAAAAATTAAACGATCATAACAAATATGACTACAAAGAAATCTGTGTAACTCAGCGTATCGTCCATTTCGACAAAAAAACCCAACGTGCTGTAAACGATAATCATAATTGATCATAATTGATCCGCAAAGAAACAGTAATAATCGGTAAGCGTTAAAGTTGAAAATCGTTGTAACGTTTGGATTAAATATGTGATAGAACCGGGAACGTTTCATTAGTTCTAAGTTAATGGAAAATTCTTCGACTCTCAACTTGTCCATTACACGGGATTTAATTCGTATGCAATCTGTAAACAATAATGATTATAGTGTGAAAAATAATTATGTATACATTGTTGGTACAATATAAACGATTATTGTGAAAGGTTTATGACAATAATTCGGGGACGTCAAATTTAGTTGTAGATTTTGGATATACCTCGTATCATTGATTAGGCCATTGTAGTATATATAGTGTTTTATTTGAATTCAATAATACCTAAATCATTACATATGCGTACAAAAAACGTTTGTGATCGGAAACTTTTTCTTATTCATTATGTCTAAGGATATTTTATCATAAACTGCGTGGTATATACATAGTATGTTGGTTGTAGTTGAACTAATTTTTAAAAAAACATAACATATATACTATATTATATGTCATTTTATTTTTATTAAATTAACGCCTGATATGCTCAATTACAGTATATATATTATATACTTGATAAATTATCATAACGGTATAATATATTATATACACTGATCTATCAAAGTTTTACCTTTACCAAAAAGTCGATTCAGAGAACTGATATGACCATAATTAGAGCTTGGATTTACATTAAGTACAAACGAAATATGTTCATAAAACTTAATGTTTTTTCTTAAGTTACAAAATAGTGCAATATGCAAAAAATTACCTTATAATTGTAAAATAATATGCATTAAAACTGTAAGATGTTGAAATATGCACAAAATAATAAATATAAGTATGCTTTATATAGATATTTAACTGCATGTTTATGAATTATGAAACATAATCTTTAATTCTGTGCATCATAAGCGTACAGTTTAGATTCATAGATGAATATTATTGAAAAGAGATATACTAACATGCATATAATAGATATTATATTATGATTCACCTCTACTTAAATTATTATTTTTTAGTAAAATACTTATATACCTATATGGATTTTTTTTATATAAAAAATATGGTAGGTAATATAAAAAAATAATTTATAATCTGTTCGTGATTATCATTTATCAGTAATATTTTCTGATTAATCGTAAACATATTAATATTTCTCAACTTCCGTATTATTATGCAATAACAAAAAAATGGATACAACATTGATAGGTACGCTTCAGATATATAATATAATATGCATGCTTACTTTTATTTTATAGATAGGTCTTATATAAGTCTCTAATGTAAGACAATTATTACAGACTATTTCTGTGGAATAGTATCTTTGCATAACAATAACTTAAATGACTTTTTGTATAAATGAGCTTGGTTTTTAACATATAAAACTATAAAAGCCATGAAACTATCACTGCTGTGTAGTAGGTTTCGAGCTGTGTATTATATTATTTCAGGAAGTCAACATGTGTTAATCCTGTCACAAAATTTTATGAAATTAGGATTTAATTTTAATTTTAAAAATGCTTATAACTAAATTCAAAATTGAAGTATTAAAAAATGTCTACGTAGTACTAGGTATTAAATTTTTAAGATAATATTATACTCATAACTCACTTTCAAATTTTATAATTTACGAATTCATTAAAAATAAAATAGAACTAAATGGATTTCTTGAACTTAAAGTGAGGTACGCTATGTAATTTAACAAACGGACAACACATGCTAGTACCTAATATTATATCCTTAGGAGAGCTCACCAAGGATGGTTTAATTGTTTTTTTTCGTATTTTATTATACAGTATAGTTTGATCTAAAATAAACACAGGTCGTGTCATCGTTCCTCCTAGAATCTAAAATTAATGGACATATACCACTAACACAAAACACATAAGGACAACTTTATAATATATTAAAATAATAATTGTAAATTGAGAATAAATCTTCTGGAAAACACACAAAACGCATAGAATATAAAATTAGTATTTCATATTTGTAATATGTACCTTATCTACGTTGTAAAGAATGTACGTTGGAAGTTGGAACGCTTAATTATACTTTAAAAATTGAACATAACACTCACCACTAGTCACTACACATGAATTGAAGAATATATCATCGAAATGTATCGATGTGGAGTAAAAACGTCACATATTATATACAATAATATCGTACAAATAGAACTGTTTGTTTAATATTCATGATTATTAGGTTCTTTTCAGTATAATTAAATAACATTACATCCTATATAATTTAGCCGAATACGTAATATTATAGGTATTAAATTCGGTCACATCCTTTTAGCACATTTAAGGTGTTTATACTTCATTTAATTTTCACGTGTCTTAGAATAACCCAGTTATACATTTTATATACAACCCTTGAACCCTATATAGAATATTATTATATGACAAGCTAATAAATTATTATCAATATTATTTATTAGTGACATTTTTAGTTTAATAATTATGAATGTCGTAATGTTGACCGTTTACTTGAGTTGCCAAATATATTTTATTATAATAATGTGAAACTTACAAATAAAACCAAATATATTCAGCATCTCATTTAATATATTAACCAATTTTTAGTTTACAAATACATAGCTTCGGTTAATATTTATAAAAACAATGATGTTATTTCGGTACTACTTTAAATACGAGTAGTTAAAATTTTAAAGGCGAAGCTAAAATGTATAAAAATATGTGTATTTTAATAGTTATCATCGTATTGTAGTATGATTATATTTTATAAATAAGTACATACAATATACATAGTAATATCGGTAAGGTCTAATAATTTAAGCATATTAAAAAGCAAATTGTTATGGATTAAAAATTATTGATACTTAAAATAAAATTTTTAATAATTTTTTTCTATTTCAAAAATAATACCATGTGGGGAAAATCCAAATTTAAATATTTAGTAAAAATTTCAAGTGTCGATCAGTGATTAGGGATGAGTTACACTAAAAATATAAAATTGATTTTTTTTTGTTTTTCACAGCGCTTTCTTAGTTTACTGGAAAATATTAAATTGAATGTAGCAATTAGATTTACTCATCCAACAAGAAAGATGCTTATGTCGAAAATCAGGACATTTTCTACCCCAAACACAATGCAGGCATACAGATATAGATAATAAATTAGATTTCTGATATTGCTTTCTATTGAATGGTATTAGTGATAATAATATTATATTAGAGTATGAACAAATAATTTTAGATGATACTTACCAAGTCTTCCAAATTCAAAGGTCTTTTTACTTCTATGATAATATATATAATTACTGAATTACCTATAAATTATTAAAAATCATGATTTATAAACTATCATGTTTTATATAATTATCGCGTGAACCCGGCTTGAAAACTAATTGTGAGATAGGTTGTACTGCAGTAGTTAGAACTATTGACTATTTTCTATACTCTATACGATTATATACCTAGTCTATTATACGAGTTGCGTATAATACACTTAACTATAATACTATATAGATTCTATAATTTAAATGAGTAAGTTGTACTGTATTAAATTCGTATATTACCGTAATAATTTGTATGTTATATTTAAAATGAAATTACTGCATTTTCTTTTTGAATATGAATAACAGTATTATATTTTTAAGCTAAACACATAATTTTATAAAATTTCTCTTTGAAAAAATGGGACATGTGGTAAATGATGTGACCATCACATAGTAATGAAAGAAATAAGTGACGAGTGTAATGAAAAAGCATCTTACAACTTACGAGTTACGACGTATTAGTGACCAAAAGACATATTTATGCAAAAAAAATTGTTATTGAATTATTACACTATTACAGTACAATCCTTAAATGTTGTAAAAATTTAAATTTTAAATTTTAAATAATAATTTAAACATACAAATATAATGATAATGCTTTGTAATATTATTATTTATGTATAAAAAAAAATAATGATTCTAATTGTTATTTGTTGATAGTAAGTAAAACAAATGTCATTTGAGTATAATTTCTTAAATATAATCTATATACGTCATACGATAAACTATTATGCGCTGAATAGTTAAGATATTATAGATATCGTACATTAAAGTACTTTGACTTTTTTTAACTCGTGGTTTCCACTGCTTTCAGCATGACGGAAACAATATTATAAGACATTGTTATGATCTGAAACAGAATTTAATTTAGTCTTTGTGTTCAAGTTCAAGAAACATATTTTATAATCGGCTATATAAAAAAACTAATTTAGTACGTTGGCGAATAACTGTAAGTCGACGATTTTTGTCGGCGAAGCTTTTATCACTAAATTATTAGCATTATTCATCTGCATCGTTAATAATAATAACTTTTTAAATGATACATCCATTTTTGTCCAATCACAAGAGTATATGCCAGAGTTAATGGATTGCCTCTGCAAACATTTTTTTAATTATTATCAAATCAAGTCTGGACCTAATGAGTATTAATGATTTACTTTAATATTCATACTGTCGAATAAATAACAATATAAAAATAAGAGTAAGCACATGTAGATTGCTGATGATCCGAGCTTGATAATGTTAAGAACAGGATGTGATTCCTTTGACAAGCAAACCTTTTACAAAGTTCAATCATGTTAAAATTAATGATTAAATGTATATACTGTACAACTGTACAAGGAGAGTCTTTTAAATTAGGACCTATACTCGTTATTTATAAATGTACTAACTTAACAATTAAACATTTTTTATTTCCTTATATTATTAACTCTTAGGTATAGCTGATTTGTTGTTGTTGTTGTTGTTTTTTTAAGATTTTAACTTAAAGTTATTATATTTTGACACTTATCATATATTTGTTATTTAACCACTATTAACTTATACATTTTTATGTATGTGATTAATATATTAAAAACTTAAAAATTCGAAGCACAATTTTTTCATGAATATTTCTACTTAGAAATATTTATAAAATAGTGACTTGTAGTAATCATTTGCATTTAGATAGTAACGCAGGAGTGAAAATAACTTCAAGACTTGTCACATTATTTCACATAATTTAAGTTGAATATTTAATCTTTAATAATGCCTAATAAATAATAATAAAACTATAAAACAAACTATTAATTTAATATCCAACTTAATTTATACATCGATATATCAAAAAAATTATTTAGCTGAAGTTTATGAAAATGGAAATTCAGAATTTAGATTAAATGAACATCTATTGTTAATTAAAAATAAAATGTTGATAAATACTAGTTTGACTAATATGGATAAAGATAAATATTAGAATTTGATATCTTACATTTTCGTATCATTATCAGATTAATATTTTTTTAGAAATAACAAGTGATGTCACTTTTACTACTTAAGAGAGTGCAAACAGAATTTAATTTTTGAAATTAAAACTCTCATTTTCTAATGTAAATATTATAAAGCGGATATTTTTTCTTTAACTAATTTATATTAATCTATTAACATCTATAATTTGCAAACATGCTTAAAGTGTATTAAATACTAAATGTAAAATTACATCTGCGCTTCATTTTCTTAAAACCATTTTTAATGATCCTCAATAACTGAGAAACTGGTTGTTTGAGTTTTTAATTAGGTATATCAAAATGCTCAAAAAATTATTCATTAAACATTTACAGTAGAAAATGGAAGAAGGGTTTTCATTTGAAAAACGAAAGTTTGTATATTGTATTGTCACAAGACATTACATTCTTTTAAGTAGTACAAATAAAAATTCTTAATAATTTGTAAATTTAGTCTTAGACTACGGTAACATATTATAGTAAAAGTTAAAGTACAATATATATACCTACCAGAATTAACACATATGTCACCATTATGAAAGTTGTTGATATAATAGCAACGTATGTTAATATAATAGACCGCACAACTGAATAAAATAATTTTATTTTCCTGAAAAAATTATATTTTAAATGTTAATAGGTATTTTCGATTAATTCGATATAATTTTCCGATGTCCAATTACTAGGTATTGTTTTAGTCAACATAAAAATTATATTTCGTGTTTCATAGATTAATCATGTTCGGTTAGGTTAGATGCTATTATTTCAAATTCTTAAAAACTATTTAATATTTATAAGTGTCAACTATGAAATATGTATTATTCGAATCGCGTGTCAATAGAAAACCGAAATCATTTAAGGGGTGATAAATTTATATTGACGTATTATTATTGTGTCTTAACTATATAGAAAAAAAATACATTTATTTAGTTATTATTATAAGCTTTAAAAGCAATTATTACAGCTCAAAAATGTATGTTGTTTTCGTCGATTAATCAGAAAACAATATATAAAACTACAGAAGTATTTAAGATCAACTATGAACTAAGAATAAAGGTGTTTTTTTTTGGCATTATTGACAACTGAATCAGAAATAACAAGTAAGTAAAGCAGATTTTGAAGAAATGTTGAGATCGTTATAAATATATCTAGATCAGCGGTTCTCAAACTAGTCAAACTGTGGTACGCAGAGGACTACATGTTGGTACACGGAAAGCCTTAAGTAACACTGAACCAGATATTTCATCGCTGATATCAAATCTTCAAATCCACGTTTCTCATGGAAAATTTGTTATTTAATTCATACCTTAATTTTTAAGCACTAATAAATTTATATTAATAAATAAATTATAATTATATTGTAGTATTTTACTGAATTTTTATTTAAAACCAATGTATTTAACTATGTAAAGTTTGTATTTTTCTATTTTTAATCATCAGTGGTATGCGACTGATTGATAATATACTAATAATAATACTATTCGTTTTTAGAATTAATAAAGGAAAATACCAACACTAAAACTAAAACTAAAAAAAAAAAAATAAATAAATAAAAATAAAATAAAAATAAAATCTAGAAAAACAATGAGAATACAAATTTTAAGTGAATGAATTAAAAATTAATAAGATGTATAATATAAATACATAATTTCCAAATCAAAAAAAAAAATCAAAACACAATACAACATATGTGAACTTAGAAATAATAAAATAAAATAAACTTAAATTCAAGCATATATAAGTAAAATATATACAAAACCAAATATTAAAATAAAATCAACTAACATTAGTTAGGTTCATGTAAAAAAAAAAACAAATGTCAAAGCTAATAAATTCAAAAAGATGTAAAAAACAACCTAGATGTTAAGTTAGATAAATAAGAAAATAAATGTCAATCAATAAAAAAAAAAAGAATTTAAAATGACTAACATAATTTAAGTTTATACAAGTAAAAAAATAAATGTTAAAGCAAATAAATACAAAAGAAAATGTAAGATAATTAACATAGTATTAAGTCAGTATAAGTAAGAATAAATGTTAAAATAAGCACAAAAGATGTGAAAAAAAAAACCTAAAATAATATTTTCTTATTATACTTCCTATTTTAAAAATAAAAAATTAAATTAAATGAACGACCTTTGGAAAGCATTCATTGCAAAAAACAATACGAACGAATTCTTTTTTTTTTTTTTTTTTTTTTTTTTTTTTTTTTTTTTGAAAATTTACAATCTGTATTAACAAAAACACAATAAGTAAATGAGATAATATGTACAACAAAACAATATATATAATGACAGAATGACATGATAAGGGAGACCATCCAATGATAGAACCCTTACTAATTCTTTTTTTAAGGACTGAACTTGAACGAATTCATTTTTTTAGTGAACGTTCCGAACACTAAAAGAAACTAAGAATAAGTTGACGATATCATGTCATTATGTTTACCTAAATCATTCTAAATATAATTTTATTTTTCTATAATATTTTTACATTTTTTTTCCTCCATAAATTTCATAATTTGGACTTATCTACTTTGTTAGTTATATCACAGAAGATTGTATTAAATATAATATATATATTATATCATATTATATTTAAAGCACAGAATAGATATTTAAACATACCTAATATTATGTTTATGTATAGGGTTTTAAAATGTCATGAAATATTTCATTTCAATGAAAAATAAAAATATTGATTGAAATAATTGAAAATAATGGGGTTTAGATTTTGATATTTATTTTTAGGCCTATTTTTAAATACACCAGGAGAATTTGACAAAATAAGAAACAAGTAACAGCCCGTCCATATAAGAAATTAATGTTGAGAAATGAAAGTCTAAATTTATTTAATAATCATATATTCGTACATTGTACCACCTAAACGAGATACTCTCCCCAGTCCCTAACGGCGATCATATGGTTATAATTTATAATATTATATAAACAGAGAATTTATAATATTTGGTATATTTACATGTTTTTCATAAAATATTGTCAGGAATATTTTTCAGCACTATAAATAAAATATACAAGCATGAAATAATTAATCAATAATATTTATATTTTACTAAGTTTATTCTTTAACTCTTTTGAAAATGTAAACATTTACCTCTTAGATAAGAGAATTTCGGCCATTTTGTGGGCTTCAAAATCATTTCTAAGTCTATCTAGATAGGTTTTTATATATCTGTGTAGTTCGCTTACCATGGTTGATATAAATTATAAGTGATAAATTATTCATTATCAATATTTTCTGTGTATAATCAATATATCATTTTATTTATAATCATCTATAATCGAACACGTTTTAAAGAAGAAAAAATATTTTTCAATATTTTATTGAAATATTTCAAGGAGAGTGAAATTTTCAATTTTGAAATATTTCAAATTCAGAACCCTATTTATATATCTGCAGTCACAAGATGTACAATTTTAATTAAAATATTAAATACCTAATTATTGTCAATAATCGATAACAGCCAATATTTATAACGTTATACTAATACTTACAGATTAAGTTGCAATTGATCACCTAGAATTGATTTAAAATCTTCATAATACACTGCAATAATAATTAATAATTATACGTATTACAAAATATAGTTTTTTTTTATAAGCATCAATTTCTAATTATTATATAGTATAATGCTATAATTTAATAGTTTACAATATTGGTCAGTGTTTATCGTTTATCTAATATAGTAAATATAGTAATATAGAATAGTTGACATAGGTATATATATTTTTTTTACTGAATCAGGTTAATACAAATCAGTAATAAATTCATTATTTTGTTTAGTGATAATCGAGCTGAAGACAAAAAGCCTATCCGCCAATAGCATAAATCAAATATGAAAAAGAAATCAGTGTAATTCAAGGTAATTTTCAAAACAAACTGGCAGCTTTATCATAAAATGATAAATTTTAAAGTAAAAAAAATTTTAAGAAAACAAATTTGTGATATTTTATATTACATAACGATTATGATAATTGGCCCAAAAAAAGCCAAGAGAGGGGCAAGCTTTCCCTACTTGCTCCCATGAGGATGCCCTTGAATATTTCGTTATACTCTTCTTTTCAATAAACATATTACTATGTTCCAAAAAAAAAAATTTTACCTATTTGGGAGTTTTCTTCGTATCCAATGTTTTTGAAAGCCCGAATGAGGACTTCCTGTTGAGCCATTATAACCCAACAGAAAGACATTAAAAGTATGTCTGGCATGATCATTACGTACATAGTAAATACTGCTACCGCTACTTCAATCAAATAAAATATGTAATAATATTGATTGAAAGTGTGAGTTGATACAGGATAACGTAAGTTCAAGATGTTTTGGAATCGGGTATTTTCGTCTTCGGGCTTTGTGAATGCGATGACCACGAGAGGAAAAATAATCCATTGCGACATCACTGTCGTCGAGAGTAAGAAAAAGTAATTGGAGATTTTAATCGATTTGTCGCGATTGTCGTAAAGTACGTTTACATTTTTACAACAATGTTTACTGTTCAAAAAATCAATCCGCGAAATGCTGAACAAGTCATGAATGGCGTCTGCGTTGTACAAAAAAATGCAAATCCTCCAATAGCATAAAAATAAAACGATCATAACAAATATGACTACAAAGAAATCTATATAACTCAGTGTATCGTCCATTTCGACAAAAAAACCCAACGTGCTGTAAACGATAATCATAATCATAATTGATCCGCAAAGAAACAGTAATAATCGGTAAGCGTTAAAGTTGAAAATCGTTGTAACGTTTGGATTAAATATGTGATAGAACCGGAAACGTTTCATTAGTTCTAAGTTAATGGAAAATTCTTCGACTCTCAACTTGTCCATTACACGGGATTTAATTCGTATGCAATCTGTAAACAATAATGATTATAGTGTGAAAAATAATTATGTATACATTGTTGGTACAATATAAACGATTATTGTGAAAGGTTTATGACAATAATTCGGGGACGTCAAATTTAGTTGTAGATTTTGGATATACCTCGTATCATTGATTAGGCCATTGTAGTATATATAGTGTTTTATTTGAATTCAATAATACCTAAATCATTACATATGCGTACAAAAAACGTTTGTGATCGGAAACTTTTTCTTATTCATTATGTCTAAGGATATTTTATCATAAACTGCGTGGTATATACATAGTATGTTGGTTGTAGTTGAACTAATTTTTAAAAAAACATAACATATATACTATATTATATGTCATTTTATTTTTATTAAATTAACGCCTGATATGCTCAAGTACAGTATTTATATTATATACACTGATCTATCAAAGTTTTACCTTTACCAAAAAGTCGATTCAGAGAACCGATATGACCATAATTAGAGTTTGGATTTACATTATGTACAAACGAAATATGATCGTAAAACGCAATGTTTTCACTTAATATACCAAATAGTGCGATATGCAAAAAATCACTTTAAAATTGGAAAATAATATGCATTAAAACTTAAAAATGTTGAAATATGAACAAAATAATAAATATAGGTATTCTTGAAAAAGATATTTAACTGCATGTTTATGAAACATAATCTTTAATTCTGTGCATCATAAGCGTACAGCTTAGATTTATAGATGAATTATTGAAAATGTGTTAGTAATATGACGGAGAGACAACTCATGCTGGTAATATTATATCCTTAGGAGAGCCCTCTAAGGATGGTTTAATTGATTTTTTCGTGTTTTATTATAAAGTATAGTTTGATCTAAAATAAACACAGGTCGTAGCATCGTTCCTCTTAGAATCTAAAATTAATGGACATATACCAATAACACAAAACACATAAGGAAAACTTTATAACATATTAATATAATAACTGTAAATTGAGAATAAATCTTCTGGAAAACACACAAAATGTATAGAATATAAAATTATAATTTCATATTTGTAATATGTACCTTATCTACGTTGTAAACTGTAAAGTATGTACGTTGGAATTTGGAACGCTTAATTATACTTAAAAAATTGAACACACCACTCACCACTAGTCACTACACATGAATTGAAGAATATCATCGAAATGTATCGATGTGGAGTAAAAACGTCCCATATTATATATAATAATATCGTACAAATAGAACTGTTTGTTTAATATTCATGATTATTAGGTTCTTTTCAGTATAATTAAATAACATTACATACTATATAATTTAGTCGAATACGTAATATTATAGGTATTAAATTCGGTCACATCCTTTTAGCACATTTAAGGTGTTTATATTCCATATAATTTTCATGTGTTTTAGAATAACCTAGTTAAACATTTTATATACAACCCTATATTGTATATTATTATATGACAAGCTAATAAATTATTATCAATATTATTAATTAGTGACATTTTTAATTTAAAAATGACGAATATCGTGATGTTCACCATTTACTTGAGTTGCCAAATATATTTTATTATAATAATGAGAAACTTACAAATAAAACCAAATATATTCAGCATCTCATTTAATATATTAACCAATTTTTAGTTTACAAATATATAGCTTCGTTTTCTATTTATATAAACAATGATGTTATTTAGGTACTAATTTAAATACGAATAGGTAAAATTCTAATGGCGAAGCTAAAATGTATTAAAATATGTGTATTTTAATAGATATCATTGTATTGTAGTACGATTATATTTTATAGATAAGTATGTAAATAGTAATATCGGTAAGGCCTAATAATTTTAGCATATTAAAAGGCAAACTGTTATGGATTAAAAATTATTAGTACTTAAAATACAATTTTTTTATAATTTTTTATTTCAAAAATAATGCTATGTGTAGAAAATCCAAATTTAAATATTTGGTAAAAATTTCAAGTGTCGATCAGTGATTAGTTACACCAAAAATATAAAATTGATTTTTTCACTTTTTTTTTGTTTTTCCCTATCGCTTTCTTAGTTGACTGGAAAATATTAATTTTGAATGTACCAATTAGATTGATAGACAATTAGATGTTGATGACAGACAGAAAAAAACACAACATTGTAAATGCAATAGGTACATTCATTCTCTACACTCAGAATCTAAAATCTAAAATATTTATATTTATGGTCAAGTTTTATTCATTTTGATACATTTTTATGAACATAATTAATAATAAATTTGACAAAAACACACACACACATTTTGATATTTTTATAATAAACAATATTAAAATAGTGGGAATAGCATGGATACTTATTGGTTCAATCATTGATTTTAAATTAATACATCCATTACAACGTCATACTCGAAAACTACACTACTTCAGAGTGGTACCCACTTGCTCACATTTTTAAATTACAATTTCTAATTCTTTGAATATATAATGCTATATGGACAGCTAGTCCATGGGCTGGACAACTGGTTGGTGTATGTAATTCAAAAAGCTTAATACTATGGTATGTCAATAGTTTATTGGTTACTTCTGTTTGGGGTCCTAGGATTTCGTAAGTTACTCTGGTAAATGATTTTCTTGTGTTTCGTTTTAATATCGTATTATTGTGTTTGATATTTTCCCGTCATTATAATAAACATTTTATGGTCTGACTACCTAGTACCGACATTTTACTATATTAATTTTCTAACATTAAACTTACCCACAACACATAATATATATAATAAATCATCATAACTATATAAGACTATTACACACTATTATGCATTTATGTAGCATAATATTAAATAAACATATTAAAAATATTTAACTACCCGGATATATTATTATCATGTGCCTACATCCCGATTAGGTTTTTAATTTTTTTAAATATTTTGTTTTTCTTAAAATATTATATTTACACAACCTTCAAATATTGTTTCGTTATAATATCATGTACAAACGAGCAACAAGTAGCCGGCGGTAGGAACATCAAGTGTGCGATTCTACGAGCTAACGCATATGCGTTTAAATCGGAATAAAACATCAACGGACGTGGATTAAAAGAAAAACACAAACACACACACACACACACACACACACACACACACACAACACAACAAACAGGTCTGTCCCCACTGCTCATATTTCTACGGACCGCGAGAAAAGCGGCTGTAAATCGTGATCTGCTTCTGAGTACGTTTGCACTGCGGCGGCAGTGACGTACGATCACTCGCACAACCGCGAACACGGTTCACCGACACCTGCCTACAATAATAATATTGTGTGGTATAAATTTACTCGGCATCGACAACGACGACGACGAGACACTTGCAGGTATTTAATATTTTATTATTATTAATATTGATGTTGTTATTGTTATTTCGTTATTGATAGTGTGTACGAGACGTATTATTACAATATATAAGTAGGTACCTATAACATACGCGCGAAAGTGATAATGATAATAAATAAAAAATATTTCGATGATTAGAATATTAGATATATTATATTATTAAATTGTACACCGAACGAAATATTATGTATGGTAAAAGTATATTATAAAATCTTCAAGGTTTAGATTTCTAATTATTATTCATTCAATAGATATCCGTCAGCGCTGACTGTTGAAGACGATACCTAAAACGAATATAACCGCATTTAAGTTAACCTATTTACTTTTCACCGGTTCATACAAATAAAAATACTTTAAGTTAATATAGTTATACTAGTGGATAATACTTATGGGTCATTTTATTTTCAACTAATAATTCATTAAATAAATACAATGTATGTATGAGTAAATATAACAAATATTGAGCGTACTATGTTAAACCACCAAACTTTACAGCAGCGATTAATTTGTTCGTCATAAATTAATAACCATCATGTAAGTTTTTCTAAGAAAATAAAATACTTAAATTAATTGTGCATACTAACTTCAATATATATTATAATCCAGAGTATTGATTAAGTTCATTGAACCCTCAAATATATTAACTGAACACGTTGCCATCGTTCGAGTACCTAGTCTTGACTCTTGTTTTTGTAGGATAATTGTCCACGGTAAATGTATGGACTGAGCTGCTCTCAGTATATATTTTATTCTATTTTCCATTGCGCGACATAGTTGTGTACATTTGGTAGAAGATTTAAATATTGATAAAATAAAAATTGACCTTTAGTTGGTACTTGGTAGGTAAATAAACCTAAACATACGCATTTGAAATATTGATTACTTTTTAATAAAATGTATTAAGGAACCCGGTGCTAATGCCATTTTGTCCACAAAAATACACTCAACGAGAATAATGATCATGCCCAAACTTTAGTCTCAAACTACATCCCAAACTTAAAAAATAAAACAATTTTAGGCTTTTTTACAAATTATTTTGTAACATTATTTGAAATAAAATAAAAAATTTGTGTTGAATGTGGCTTGTAAAAAGTCTTCTTCTTAAAGATAGCTTTGTGATGAATGTTAACCCAAATCATAGAATTTGAATAAATAACCAAATTGCAGACAATGACTGTTAAGTGTAGACACTTAAATACTTAATATATATATATACGTATAATTATGTAGACTTTATATACAAAATACATTACTACATATTTGTTATATAATCAATGTCATATTGTCATAACATAATAATAATTACCAGTTACTATAATATACTACAATAACGATGTACGCAATATTTAAAATTAAATAATTATTCGCAAAAGATATATTATTGGCACTGATTTTTTATGGTACATTTTATGAATCAAGTATTGAATTGAAATGGTCACTTATATAATTTTAAGTAATAATATTCTCTTGTATGATAGTTAATTTATAATAACACGCCTAATCAAAATTGTTGTTCGTATCATTGCACTACCCGCGTTTGTTACTAAAATTAACACTTTAAATTAACTATTTATCGTTGAAATAAATTAAAATATTTATACACCTATTGGCAATTTTATGTAAATGAATAATAAATTCATTAGGAATACGCGTAGGTTCTTAATTAATATACCCGCAATCTATATAGTGTATTTAAACTGACTTGCCACCTAATATTTACATAAAAACATGTTAGGGTTTAATAGGAAACTCATTTTAGTTTTAAGTTATTCTCGTGTTGACACAATGCTATTAGGTATAGTGTATAGATATATTAAAATACGATTGCTTACATTAATTATTGTAATGTACTATTGATAGTTAAATAAACTCATTCATTCGTTATTGTATTGTATTCCTGTGTTGACTATAGTTATTGACCTGAAGAATTGAATTCCCCCTTCACGTGCCATTAAAATTGAAAGTATATTTATATTAATTCTTCATGAATTTAAACATAATTTAAATGTTACGTGTTATAATAATGCTTTACTGCAATTTTCCGTCTCGTTGGCAGGTTTAACGTGACCTTGTGAGAAAAATGTTTACTAGTATATGAGTCTTCTCAAAATTAATACGTGATGATTTGAACCACAAACTTCTACTAGAAGATTTAAAATTAGGTATAACAGTTACCTAAATAAAGTAATTAAAAATATCAAAATATATGAAATAAATGTTAAATCACGATCACACGTATAAACATTATGAACTATGATATTATCAGTATAATTACAATTATGCGTTTAAATTAATCATGTTCATTGTTTTGAAAACATTTTATATATTAAATACACTATTCTATCATAGTATCATTTCACACATAAATGTGTCAAAATATAAATGAAACATTGAATAATATGCATTATTATTTATTATTGTTTATTAGAATAATTTTAGTATCCAACAAATTGAATAAATACCTGCTACCAATATAAGATAGTTACAAATCCAATTGTCCATATTATATTTATTATCTAGTAATTAAGAAAACTATAGATTCGCAATTAATTATAAAATGAAATAAAAAGGTAGGTAGGTGTCTTACTGCCTTATTATCAAGCGAAGAAATTAAATGAATTCAGTTAATTATTTCAATATCAAAGGTCAAACGAATATCTACTCGATGTACATATAATTATACCCAGTAAACAAGTTTATAGGTACGCATGATGAAACCAAAATATTGTTAGAGATCAATGCCTTTTCCGCATGGCCTCAATTTGTTATAAATTTATAATATTTACATATTTCGTACACAAATCGATATATTGTATGTATGTATACCTCCATATTGTATGGTAAATCGGCACATACATATTATAATATTTTAATTATAATAATGTTATAGAGGGTAATATTCTTTTATCTCTAACAGAATAAATTGCCATTAATTGTCTCAACAAATTTATATGTTTTTAAAAATGTGTTTATCTTTTTTAATTACTTACATAATTTTTCTACACAAACTATTAGAAATGCATTAAGATATAAAATTGGCTATGAAAAATATGTAAACTCATTGGTGTTTTATCTATATAAATGAAAATGTATTATCCGACAGTTATTAAATATAGGTAAATACATTAATTATAGGTGTTTAAGAAATCGTTGAAGTTCATTTAAAATATCTATAGAGAATATAATAGTAACTTTATTTTTAAAAAGTCATAAACAATCGATGTTATATTTTTAATTATTTTTACAACGTTGTACATATTAAGTCAAAATCAAGTGTAGAGATGACGAATCAATATTTTTTAAAACATTTTATACTTTTTAATAATTTATGATGAAGGACGTAAAAAAAATAATAAATAAATAGAAAAAGGTTGTACGTACGTCTAATTTTGTTACAATTTGATTGATTGTTGGAGAAATAATATACATTTGTGTCGCTTAAACTACTACATTACTAATTGTGTTGATATCTATATTTAGGTGTTGAAATGTCCGTTTATCCAATACTGTTGCATGCAGGAGCGTGTTTGTGGTATGTTTTCTTTTGGAACAACTTTTTAGCTAATGGCAGTGGTCAAAAAGAGAGCGACTGGGATCCTAGGTACCGAGACATTCATGAAATGGGATCTAGGTTTCTCACCAATTGGAATCTAGTAAATACATTTATAGTTTTGACTTATGTGTATTAAATATTTGGTATTGTTGTCAAAATTTTTATAATAATTTATAATATAATTTAGTATTACTCATTTATATTGACGCTATAACTATAGTCCATAGTTAGAGTTGGCAACCTTTTCGTAGGAAAGATAACCTTTTCGCATTTTTCTAAAAATTTACAAAACCGTGATGTTCAATGAGTCTCATTGGCTTTTTTTCTAATCGTCATTTTTCTCTATACTTATCATTATTGGTGTTATAACCTATATTATATAAAGGACAATTCAAGTCTTATATTAAAGAAGTATTATTATTATTATTATTTATTTGATGTTTATAATATTCCTAATGTATAATTCGCATTATAAAGAACGTATGTATTCTGATTTCTGAATATAATTTGAAGAAAAGTGATAATTTTGTTATTAAAATTGTATATAAATAAAAAAAATCTCGATGATCCTAAAGAGCTACAGGTTACCAACCCCTAGTCTATATAAGATATACTCTCAGTATAATATAGGTGTATGCGTCTATAAATATGAGTTGTAATAATGTTTAAAACTTTCAGTTTATTCAGACGTTGTTCTTTGGCGGCTGTCTGTTTCATGATGTAATGAAAATATTGAACGGTCCCAACTGGTTGAAATTAGGTTCGAAATTTCAAACTATACTCTCGTTGAGTTTTTCATCGATATTACTGCCAACTGGAATTGTAAGTTTTATTTTTTAGATTTATTTAGTTTATTCAATTTAAAATATCTATGTCTTATAAACATAAACAAAATATAATGTAAAACTAGTACCTACCTATTTGTAGGTAACCCTAATGTAGTAATTAATTATTTGATTGGGTAATTTCAACATGGTGTCATTACGACATTGATGACCGTATTGTGCATCATTTTATGATAAAATCATTATGTTGAATTATGATTATCATATTTTATTAGCCACATTTTACTTTTTACATTCTATTTATAAATTTTAGTACAAACTACAAAACATATAAATGTGTACTTACATCTCTGATCTATATAATATATTCTCAGTCATATAGTTATAATAAATAATTATTTAAATTAATGAAAGAGAGCGTTTGCAGGCGTCCTCTTAATTGTCATACAATGAGAAACATCAAATACAATTATTTAAAAAAATTGAAGTAAATTAGCTTATAGAATATATTGTTATTATAATGTATAATAAATATGTTTATGTTTTAGTTCGTGTGTGTCACATTTTGGGTAATGTATGCTTACGATCGTGAAGTTATCTACCCAAAAATAGTTGATAGTTACATACCGTATTGGCAAAATCATGGAATGCACACAACTATTTTACCACTCTTGTTGGCTGAATTATGTACTACCAGACATAAGTTCCCTTCGGTGACAGCTTCAATGACAATATTTTTGGGATTCGGAATTTGCTACGGACTCGTGTAAGTATATTAAAGCTATCACGGCGGAGGAGTTAAAAAAGTTAAAAAATATAAATTTGTGCATTTAATTTGATTTTTAGTTTTTTGGGAACGTACGTGGAAAAAGGACGTTGGGTATACCCCTTGTTCGGCCTGTTTAGCTTTCCGATTTCATTGGGTATTATGATTGTTTTATTTTTAAAACTAATGTCGTTTTTATTCGTCGGTATATTCATCCAAAACATGTACTGGGGTAAGTACAAATACAAAATGTAAACCTTTAACAAATCTAACCGTTAATTCATTGAATTCGTAATTCGATTTTTACTATAAAAATAACACAAAAATTGTTTCCCTATGTATATAAGAGGTGTGAATCAGTGCATCATTTTTCTGATCGCCAATAATTACAAATTTTAAATGCTTATGCCAGGTTGCATGAAAAATGTTTTAATTTAATGGTTTAATAACAATTAAATGGATCAATAATGAGCCACTAAATCATGTTTAATGTGGTACATTAGCTCACTATCGATTCATTAAATGTTCAGTGATTGTTCATGCGACCCGGCTTAATACATATTTTTTTTTAAAGAAAGCTTTTAACCAAATATTTGTAAACATATTTTTCTTCAGAAATCAGAAATATACCTACATTGTAATTAAAACAAGTAAAATACTTAATATCATCATGATGGATACAATACCTACCTTCTTGAAGTTGTGTAAAAACTTTTTTTTCGAAAACAAAAATTGACCAGGATGATTATATAATAATATCATACAATGTATTATAGTAATCTGTATGTTTTATTAATATTATGTAATTTACCATAACTACTGTCAGTGATTACTCAATGCAATAAGATATATTATAATTTATTATGTATTAATATATGCTGAGTATAAATATTTTGTACTGAACATTCCTGTATAAGATATTTCTTGAAATAATTAATAATTATAATGAACTGAAGTATTTTGCGTGATAACTAGTATGGTAACCTATATATTTATGATAACATTTTAATCTTATCAAAAATTACAATTACACTATACATATTTTAAATAACATATGTGTATGATATTTAATTAATTACCTATCAGTTATTTGATTTTGCAATAACTATGAATAAATTATTTTGTATGTAATAATCATAGTTTTTGCCTCTTGGTAATCAATACCTGATCCAATACAATGAACTAGGACATATTTACACTTTTTTAGACTTCAAAAGTATACCGAATGGTACAGTTGTGTAAAATAATATAAGAACTTTCGGTGGCATACACAGATATTTTTAATGGAGGGGAATATACATTAAAAAATGATAATTAAATATATTATACTAAATCAAAATATTTTTTATTGAATTCATTTTTATAAGTATAGCATAAAAAATACCAATAACACCGAAAACTTCCTTCCCCCTGTGTGTACCTACCCCAGTGAGAATTTGCAATTGCCAAAAATATCACCACCGGTAGCAATAGAGGACGTTTACAATTTATATTAAATCTTTAAATATAATATTTTGCACAAAAATGTTTGAATAAACTCAAATATTTTTAGCCTTAAACCTAGTTTTAGAGATTTTTATTATATTACTTTCTATAATATCCACTCGTCGATTTAATTGACTTGATCATTTATGAAATTTTAAATACCTACCTAAAAAATTGAACAATTTCCGGATATGAAGATTAAATCAATCAATTTAGGTCTTAGAGTAAAATTATATAGTAAAATCAAAATCATGGCCCTCAATATTATTTGATATCGAAAAACAATGTAATTACTGACACCCTCGGATCTACCAATTACGGCCAACAAACCGCTGACTTCGGTATTTTTTTTTTTTTGATCGAAAAGAAATTTTTATAGATAACATTTTCGATTATCTATCTCCTTTAAGCAAAGCTTGAGTTGGAGATAGAGAGTTATTAAATTATGTAATATAATTATTAATAAAGGAAATTATACTAAATTAAAATTTTAAATACATATAAAACTAAAAAAACAAATATCAATATAATATATTTTTTTTTAGAAATTATACATGATAAAAACAAAACTATAAAATAACATTATATTCAAACATACACGAATAAAACAAATATAGATTAAAATTATTTACATAGCTTAAAATATAAAAAGAACTTGATTTAAGGTAAATTGCACCATAACCATTCATTAATTAATTTTTTTTTTTGATTTTTGTTTGTATAGTATTATAATTTCTGTTTTATATCATAATCCAATGAATTGAAAGTAGTAGGCCCAAAGTAGTATATGAATTTTTGACCACACGTTGTTTTTACATAATTTACTAATGCATCTAATGCCCTGCGTTGTCTTTTATTTTTGTATAACTCTGTATTGAACCATGTTTTTCTGTTAGTATCTAACTAAAATATCACAGTTTTTTGTAAACCGATCTAATAGGCAAAACCTTAAACTCTTTATAATTTTGATTCGTTGAGCCTACCATAGTTTTTTGTATCTAAACAGATTCTTATCATTTTGTTTTGTTGAAGTTGTAATGGCTTTAAATAAATTTCAGACAGTCCACCTCACACTAAACATCCATATTGGAACACTGATTGATATAGAGCTAAATATATATTGCGTAATATATTTACAGGCAAGATATTTTTTAGTTTATAAAATTTGTGGAGTGAAGAACGTAGCCTCATTACTATATTATTTATATGTAAATTCCACTTAAAGTTACTGTCAAATGTTATACCTAGATTGGTAGACTGGACCCTTGAAATTTTTTTACACGTATCAGCATTACATTCAGCGACGTTTTTACAACAATGTACTGTTAGTTCCTGAAAAGGAATAACCGAATTGTAAATACTGAAAGACATAAAATAGGTTTTTTTTATATTCAAAGATAATTTCTTTGAGTTAAAAAGATTTACTAATTTTTTGAGCCTTAAGTTGCACGAAGGTCACGAGCTATCTGTGAAGAGTAGACAAGTGTCATCTGCATGTGTTACAACTTTACCATCTAAATTTATATTACATATACAGTTAATATATAAAATGAAAAAAAAGGACCAAGAACACTACTTTGTGGAACTCCGCAAATGATTTTCCTTTTTTGACCTAATGTTTTGTTTATTTTAACTATTTGTTGCCTATCTTTTAGATAATTTCCAAACAAATTTAAACTAGTTGTTTTTATGCCAAAACTAGGTAGAGTCTTTATTAGTTCTTCGTGATTAACCATGTCAAATGCCTTAGGTCTAAGAAAACTGCCAAGGTTTTTTTTACCATGATCAACGGCATTATATACGTGTCTCGTGGCGCTATAAAGTGCATTTGCTGTCCCTAAGCCAGGTCTAAAACCATATTGATTTTTAGACAGTAGTTTATATTTTTCTAAGTAATTAATGAGTCTACTTTTGATTATTTTTCAAACCTATCTATAGGTATATATTTATATTTTATATATATGGATAAGTATGTTAAATAGTACCCAATTAGTAGGTAAGAATTTCGGTTTAGCTTTATAGGTACTTTATATGTTTAGGAAAAATTGAACGAAGTTTAAACTGTTTTAGGCATGTAGATAAATTTTTTTGAGAAACAGAGATTTAAATTAACAATATTGTAAAATCACGATAATTTCCAACCCATGTTTTTTTTTAAATTTAAATAAACAGATAAAAACGTTGTAAATTATGCATTTGTTCCCATGGATTAAAAGCAAGGTTCAAAAATTGTGTAATTTAAATAATAGTTGAATTGTTAAAGTAAACAATTTGTAATATATAATTAATTTTAATTAAAAATTTAACATTTTCAGGAAAAGAAGAAAAGAAACGACACCGAAAACCTGTTAAGAAATCATCCTAATACAAATATATAGTACAAAATATGATGTCTTGAATTTTTTCAAAAAAAAATATTATAATTTAATAAAATGTTTATAACTATGCATATATAGTTTACACATTATGATTCAATGTCATGTTATGATAAATATTAATGGTGTTAATAATTTATTTTTTATTTTGTTAATATACCTACATAATATATTACATACCTACTATTTTAAATGTATATAATGTTATTTTTATACTTATTTGACTTATTTGTTATTCGTGTATCTAAATGTTTTCATTATTTTGTTACAGTTATTCCAGAATTTAAATACAGTATGAAATAATTGTATTTTTAGTTGTGTTTATAGTAACATACTGAATATTAAACTTTTAACAGTATTAGAATAGTTGTACATAATTGAAACACCCTAAATGTTTAGTTTTTATAATAATTATAGAAAAATATTATGTTTTAAATTTTTAAGATATAACTTTATACCTAACGAAATTAACATAATTAGTATTATATACCCATATAGTTAATTGTTTAGCCAATTACAACTACTTGGTCAACTATTAATAATAAATCATTAAAAATATGTATTTGATAATTTAAGTATTAATAAGTTTTTTACTAATTCAGGATTCATACTATTTATTTTTTTTAGATGAAAAGAAAGGCAAGATACTTTAAACCTGATTAATTTTTAATGGTGTTACATACCTACTATTAAACCTAAATATTGCTGTCTAAGTATCCTACCTATAAAGTAAGCTGGAAAGTACTAAAGTACTTAACCGTTCTCCGTAGTATAGAAGAGTCTTGTTGCGCGATTTGTCATTGAGTAGGTATGGATGATAAAATTGAATTAAACGATAAATCGCTTATAGATGGATTTCCGGAGATTTTATTTGAGTGTAGAACTCTAATATGTTTTAAAATTGCAAACATATTTGATACGTTTCTGAGTTGATGAAACATAAATATATTAATTATGTATCAAAAAAATAATCCATACTTACATTTTTACTCAACTATAGTTTTGAATTAATAAATATATTTTGAAGAATAACTACATATAATACAGATATAAAGTATAATTAATACATTAATATGTCACCGCAATGACCTGCAGTGTTGAACCAAGTTTGGTTTTTATTCTAAATATTCGGCGACTTTAAGCCACCCATTAAACATTTTTTTTATCAAATATTTGTTTTCATTTGATGGAAAAGGGTCACTTTGATCCTCCTTTATAAAGATGTTGAAAATATTCCATTATTATCAATCGGTAACCTCCTCCGGGTAAAGTTGAATGGTTTTCTCAAAACTTATATTACTCATAAATTATAATTAATTATTGTCTCTACTGGACGTAATTTACCACATGGAAATGTATACCAGAAATTTGTTGGGGGCAATACATAAAAATGTATATTTTCCTAAAATGTTTTAGGTGCTACAAATTTATGCATGCCCAAACTTTGTAGAAGAACACTCATCGTTTGTAAAGATTAATGGATTAATGCAGTATAAACTATTCAAGTTCATTAAAATATGTTTCAATAAATAATTAAAACATCACACACAATAAACGCGACGAATTGTGTCCGAAATGAATCATAAAATAATAAATAGAAATAATAATTTATCTGGCCAGAATACAGCTTAAACATTCTCAAAATAATAAAAATATATAATATGATAATAATTAACTATGAGTACAAATGTACAATAATACCATATAATAGTATTTTGGCCTGATTGTAAGAAAAGTAATTGTGGAGAAAACATGTTCATTTATTTATTATGATTACATACAAAAAATCGTGCTTTTAAAAGGGTATGAAAAAAAGGCTTATCGAGGTCAAATATTAAGTTTGTAATAGAAAAATAAAAAATAAAATTTTCTAATGAAATTAACTATAATTATTCATAGATAAAACAAGTTGATTATTATTTATTAGTTTATTACCATAGAAACCTTAGAGTTCAAACAGACGACCGGATTTGGGCATTTTGCAGTTCAGCGTCTGCCGTCTGTTTTTTTTATGTATAGAGATATGTTTGGTAAACAGACAGTGACGTTTTTTCTCCAGCCCGTCAGTTCGCCTAGTTCACCCAGTTCTCCGGGAATATTTACTGCGCCTGGAGGAACACGGTAACCGGCTGAAAAAATTCGATTGTCTGAGATTGGACCCTTATTGACGCTTTTTAGTCGCAATGACGAAGCTAATTTAAGGAGTTTCCCTTGTTTGATAGTATTTATTTTATGATTGTATGTAATGAACTTTAAATTAATATTTTCACCAAATGGTGAATGGTAAATGGTTATACGACGTATGAGAGGGTATACGTACGGGGGTGTATACCCTCGAAAACACCACTGTCTCAGTTCAAAATAATAATTAAGAACATGCAATGTCTTGTTTAGTTTGTTTACTTAAAAGTCTAAATATAAATAAAATAACCGATTGCCGCATGTATGAACGATCATCACACAACAAATTGTGTTTCTTTTGCTGTGATAGAAATTACTGTCAGAACAAGATTTGTATGAAAGAACATTTTTGGAAAATTCACCGGAAAAGTTGGAAATTTGGTTGGTAGTTTTTAAATAAAAAAATATGACGTCCAGTTTGACAGTTCTGTTTTCATAACAACAACTAATTCCACTAATATTTCTATTCCGATAATCCCGCAAAACAAGTTACTCACAATTTTCTATTTAAAATATATTAAAAACATTATTTAGGTTACTACGCGTAAACCAATACGAACGGGCAACGATAGTCGGAATTATATAATAGTGTCGTTAGTCATCCATCTATGATTTGTCGTTATCGTTACATATTAATTGTTACTATAATGAGGAATGAGCCTATATAGGCTCTGGATTAAAGTGTCCTAAAAACGATCAAAAAAAAATTCTCTTATAAATGCCTCCTCAACACAATAATAATGCCATCAAAAAATAAAAAAGGACCCATTTTTTTTGTTATGTATGCAAGCGAGACGAAACTGACGGTTTAGTTTTTGGAATTTTGAACACTTTTTATCTTATAACTAAACTCAAGAGACAATACAAAAACAAAGTACCAAACTTTTAGGCACTTGATACAATAATATAGTCATCAGTTGTCCGCATAAATTGATGTTCTTTTCCTTCAGATTTATTGATTACGCTAAAACGACAATAGTGATTGGGCTGAAAATGAATTGTTAAAATCAAGTTTAGTATATTTTTAACTTAAATTTACACCTAATATAAGTCGTCCTACGATAAAATAAATATACATGAAATTCACAGTTTTTAGTAGTGATTTTAATTTCTTCTTTTTTTCAAGAATATTTATTTTACCCATTTAAAGTCTTAAACACAAAATTCATTTTCAAATTGTTTATAATATCTGAGTTTTATCAGAGCTGCTAGGAAAATACTCGAAAGTTGAGAAGAGCTGTTCTCTGCAAGTGGTAAACTGTAATATTTGTGGGAGAAATTTATTTGGGACATTGAGTAAAACTCTAAAGAGCTTTTTATTCCTACATCATTCAAAAACAAAAAAATAAGAAGAAAAAATATTTTTATAGGATACTGAGATATTTTTTGTTTCCCAAAGTTTCCTTGAATAAGGTGAGATGTATATTAGAACTATCGTTTCTTGGAAAACGATACCACTAGTATCGTTACATACGTAAATAATTACTAATTAGCAATTACATAATTATGGAACATTAAAATGGAAAAGTTTAAGACCTGCAGTAATTACGTATATACCTGCTACTGTGTAAACAACAAGTCATATAACACTATCGATAAAAAAATTTAATTTATCTTTGTATATTGTTTACGGATTTCAATTTTTTAATTTATAACTCATGGTCAAATACCTCTATGCGCACTTAAAATTAATTATATGATGTCAATAATTCGCGTTTTAAAAAAAGAACAAACGTACCTACCTAGGAATTTGTTTTGTTTTTTAAAAAAATGTTGAATTCAAATAGGTGATGTAAACAAATGCAAATGTTTTTGTTTATGATGGTAACCTATTACAAACAGACAACAATATAACTGTATAAATATAGGGCGAGTTTGTAATTTGCAACACAACAGTTAGCCAATTACACAGATAGCCTTATAATTTACACCAAAATAAGTTTATAATAAGTACCTTCTCAATTATTCATCGGTATTTTTGTCGACATCGAGACTCGACGGACTCGATTTATAATAACAATTTTATAGGGATTTCTAATCTATGCCGCCTCATCTGGTAATCATTTACAATCGGTCTTCTTTTAACCGAGAAACATAAAAATTACACTTCAACCAATGTAATATAAATTTGTTTTTTTTAATTGTATACGTAAAATTGTTTTTATTTATATTCTTATAACTGACTAACTTTGTTTTTGATAATAAGACTTTATTTATAGCACAAAAATGAATTGGTACTTATATCTATTGATTACAGGTATTATAATATATAGTTACAATAATCTCTGTAAGCTCAGCTTGTGTGAAGAGAGTTAAGTTCAACAGAATCGTGATTTGCGATAAAATCATAAAAATATTGTACATCCAAATCTAAATTAAAAATACAAATAATTTAAAATCATTAAACGTTTCAAAATGATATTTTTGTTTAAAATAATGAAATTATTATGATATTATATAATATGTATTTCATACATTAATATATTATTATTATAAGGTAGATTTTTAAGTCAACATTGACGTACCGTAGATCGATGTTAGTAGTTAAATGAAATAATCGTTCAGAATCTAAAACGGAATATTCTGTGTCTTTAGCTTTTCATATTATACCTATCAATGTATAAAATATGAACTATACTTTATTATCCAAACTAGTAAGTAAGTACTATCGAAAGAATAATCGACTTTAACTATGGTGTAAACACTTACTACCTGAGATGACAAAAATTACGCAATATCTATACTTGAAAATGCATTTCAAAAAAGGTCGGTGAAGGTTATACAATATGTTATATATATTTTGGGTCGATTTTGGGGCAAATTAACTACGCTCAATATAGGCACTATCAGTGTAATTCATATTATCATATTATTATATTCAATTACGATTTAAAGTTAATATTTATATAATAGTATATATTATATTGACGATACTAAATATAATATTATAAATTATAATATTTATATTTGAACTTTGTAGTGGACACACTTTGTATTACCCTACAATATTATAACACCTATTACCTATAGCAGTACAGCCCATATAGGTACCGATAAGTGAAAGAGGAGAGAACATTATGCTTGTGAATGTTCATAATATATTATTGATACACACATAACGCGCGATAAAAAAAAATAAATACAATTTGCACATTTTTTATATAGAAATTAATCTATTGGTAGTTCGTTTAACTGAAGACTGTAATTATTTAACTGCGCAATTAAATAAGTAAATATTGAACTATTATACAGGTATAGTAGGTAGTATCTAGTATATACCTATGTACATTTTTTACGTTCTACTCAATGCCACACGATTTGTTGCAGTCAATAAAATATCATAATAATTAAAAATACGTTTGTTAATTTATTGTTATTATTCACAATTAAATTGAAAACTATTGGGCGGTGTGGCGTGCTGTCTAGTTTTAGTCACAAATTTGTTCTGATTGCCAGCACCGTCTGGCGTCGCTAGTTTCCGGATGGGTGACCACCAAGGTTCTTAGTGGCAAATCTTTGCCACACATGCACATGTTCCAAACCGACAATACTCGCTCCCACAGTTAAAAAAGCTTACTAAAAATTACTCAATGGCTTATGTTGTCGCGGGTTATTTAATCAACAAAATTTAAAACTCACACATATAACAAATAACAAATATTTGTTAATATTAACAAATGCCTTTATTTTATAAACAAATATATTTTACTTTACTAATTTTGATATAATAAACAACATGATATATTTTATGGGGCTATTAGTAGATAATAAACTATGTTCCCGTAATAGATATACTTATAACATTTTACTGATTTGTAATGACTACCTATATAATGTATTAATGTCTAATATACGAAAATATCAAACAGAGACAAATTGCCACAACATAACCAAATAACTTTGAATTTGTATTGAAAAAATTACCATAAAACACACAAGTGGTCGTCGGCTGTAATTGTCACTTTCTGCTATTTATTGTATTACATAATTTTTAGAGCTTTTAGGTAACTACTACAATGTACACACTTCAAAATAAAGTTAACATTTTGTATAAATGTAGATTTAATACAACTAATACCAGTATTCAGTATATTATCAGATACAATATCATGCATGATGCAAGGTATTTGTTTAAAGTCAACCCAATGATAGCAAAATGTATATTATTCGCAAATTCAAATAAGCAGATAGTGTGCGTAAACAGTACCTATACATACATAATGTACAATAATAATAATAATAATATTATAGTGTAGAACGTATACAGTAAAAGGACATGACCTATTCAGATTAAGTGCTTCTTAATTATTATTTTGAACTAAGATAACTATTGCAGACCTCGCCGGTTGTGTGTTATTTAAATTTATTATTGAGGTATACCGAATTCATCGAGTTCAACATATATATATATATATAGATTCACAGGCTTATAATATACACGTGTGTATAAGTAAATCACACCCACACACACACACGCACACAAATATCGGGCCAGATTGTTCGTTAATTTCGACAGCGCATTTATAATAATATGATCTATAGCGGGTGAGCTATGAAGAAATTTGTTAATTACCTCGAAGCACGGCGTGCACGCTTTTTACTTGCAGATTATCGCTGTAGCTAAATAAATGTACAATTAATAATTTTATTTATTAAATAAGCAAACGCGTATGGGCAAATAAATTTCTGAGTCGATTATCGTAGTATAAATAATAAATAATGTATAGTGTAGATAAGTTCTCAATAAAAATATTAAAAAACTACAAGACACGTGTGGGTACAGAAGTCGGCTCGTCAAACTTTGAGGGGGGGGGGGATTTTGAGATATTAAAACTGTCGAGATATCAAAAAACCAATATCAAGTGCAGTTATGGTGTTCGAATGAGAATTTTTTACATTTGTGATAGCTCGTATGTACGAAGTACCTGTAATATTATAATATATTAATATAAATATAGCACAGTCGCATAGACCATATGCAGAGTATAATTCCGCTGTTATTAGGTATCCTAGAGTTATAGTCGGCTTTTGACAAGATAAGCTATGTAATATAAATTATAATTAATATTACCTAAACCTTTTAATCATCACACCGGTGATAATATACATAACACTGCAGGATGGCTTGTTATTGAAACGATTGTATACCCCTCCTTCACACATATCGATTGGTTGAAAACACAGGAGTGTAGAACTGGAGTGATGACTGGAATTGGGGGGGGGGGTGTATTAGTCTTCCCCGTTATTTAAGAATGTGTAAGTAGTTAGTGAATAAGAACCTGCAGATAATTTTAGAAGGACCAATTCGTTCCAACCTATACCGTTAGAGAAATGGCTTTTGAGCTTTGATATAAAAAATAAGACATTATGTAGAATAATATATACTGTAAGGTACATATAGGGAGCTCTGGAAAACTAGAAAATCTGGAATGACTATCAAAGAAGAAAAAATAATTCAGTATAAAAAATGTATTGACTATTTTTGAAGAGTAGAATAATTATAGCTAAGACTGACACTTTCAAGCTCATAAAAACAAAACATACATTTGTTAGTACTGCTTTTTCATAAGCATCATTCCCTTAAATTTAGTATAAGTACCTACCATAGTGCTATATTATGTATCATATAGTATATGAGTATATTTAAATGTCTTTCCATCCTTAGTAACGAATTTTATGGTATTTCGGAGCAAATTTAAATCACTTTAAGCACCTATGCAGAGTGATGATGGAGTGCACCATGCACAACGTCAGGACCCAATAATGACATTCATTAACTTTTTAATTGCAAATAAATTACATGTAGATGAACTGTCGGGCTTCGATTACAGATAGCATCTATATATTGTATACATATGAATAAACACCATAATATTATCTTATGGACATTAATTTCAAGACCTACGATTTTTGACCTTTGAACTGTTCAATGGCATAATATGATGTAGATTCTGTTTTCAATTAATACAATTAGTTTTGATTTTGTAAATCCATTTGTATACACTATTTAGAGTTTTATATTTATTATTATTTAGATTTTATGCATATATTCCCGTTTTCCCGGAACATCCTGTATATTATGCTGCAGTATATATGCACATCATAGACTCACATTGTCGGGAAAATTTAAATTTTAAATTAATTTTAACAATATTGTATTTATTTTATAGGCCGCTTGGGCCTGGGTGGACTTCTTATCTAATTTTAGATTACTTTTTTTCTACACGTTCTAACAATCTACACCTTTAATAATTAAAATGAATAATCTTTTAGTTCGATTGCAATATATAATATTCCCGTGTACGTCATCATACTCAGACGAGTTTACCGAAAAATCCTGTACACAATTTATAATATTCATTACGTATTCAATATCTAAAAGTAGTTTGTTTTTTTGAAAATCGCGTTATACTATTGTGACGAACGCACCGCGTGCTGCAATGGAAAAATTCAAATAACAATTCAAATACAACAAAACACGCACACAAACACACACACACACACACACACACACACACACACACACACACACACACACACACACACACACACACACACAGAGTAAACATAAAATGGCAATAATTTATTTGATAGTGTGATGTGAGTAAGTTCTTAATCGTACAAATAAATAAATAAATAAATAAATAATACAGTGGATTGATGTATCGCGACTTGTACAAACAGCAGGTAGGTAGGCACTAAACACATGTGTTACAATGATATGCCCGTCACGTGATTGGTCGTTTGCTTCGGATCCAAAGACCGCGGCACAACAATATTATTACGATCTGCGCGTCGATCTCGGCGAGCCGATCATTTCGTTCCGACATGTGCACGATGGCGTTGGTCAACAGCGGCGCCCGGCAACCGCCAGCGGCCATCGTCCGGTTCGTGGTGCACGGAACTCTGGCGTGGCTGTACTTCCACGTCATGTGGATGGCCGGTTCCGTGGACTGGGACTCGATCGTGTTCCCGACCATCAGCGAAGTGGGAAAGTTCATGTCGTTCATGCTCACCATGTGGACGCTGGTGAGTACCCACATACCCTGTATAGTCGTGGCCGGCGGCCGCTGTATATACTATACAGGTATAATATTATTAAGAATTATATACAGGGTGATCCGCTTGACCCTTAAATATACTTAACTACCTCCAATAACCTTTCAATAACCTATTGATGATGGTTTTGAAATTATTTCTCACTACGCATAATTTTGGGCCGTTGAAAAATAATTATATTTTATACTATTTTTTATCATTTTTATTTTTTTGATGACATTTTTTTTTTTTGATTCCTTAAACACATAAATATTACAAGTTTTTGCACGGTGGGCTTGTTCCAAATCTGATTATTGTTTGGAGTACTTCAATACATAAAAATCAAATTTCGGACAAATAGTTTATGAGTTATAAATACTATAAGTTTAGATTAGCTAAAGGGTATGCCACAATGTTGGTCCATTACTCCATTCATATATACTTTAAATACTAACAACTAATAATTAATAAACTACTTATTGATTTGATTTTTATAGATAAAAATACTTAGAATGATATTCTAATTTTGATTTCACTTGATTTGATTTTTGTTTTGACTCAGTAGGAAAATTGAAATATTGTTTATTTACTAATTTTTTATGGTAAAATTATTTTTATTTTTGTTATTATTACTGTTATTTAATTGTAATTTATGTATTATTGTATCAACTGACATTTTAGTATTTAGTTACCTAGTTTAGTTTTAGTATTTTGTATTATAAAAGCATTAATTATCTGTACTCTTACCTTTCATCGGGTGTTACATTATATTCTAATTTAATAAACTTAATTAATCAATCAAACTTTCAGTTTTATGAGAATAATTCTTAATGGCACCCATAAAATCCTTATATTGTGACTTTGTAAGTTCAATTTTGGAGTGTGGAGCAGTTGGTGGGATCTAGTAACTACATACTATTCTTGCGGTATACTATTCAAGTATAGACGTCTTTAACGCAAGTTTCTTAACTTTGCAGGGTTGATATTAAAAATTGATCACCAAAGGCCAGGTCAAATCCATGACTATTAATGGTTATGAACCGGCTTGGTTAAGCCTATACTTAAGCTCACAGATGGCTAAAAGCTAATTTAATTTTTCTTGGGCGTCTTGTTAATATTAATTAATATAATAGACTCCCTTATTGAACTATAATACAGGTTGACTACAAAGTCTCATCCCTTCATGTCCACCTCATGTATTTATTTTCCATATACCATTACAATTTACAGTATACACGCAACATTGATCATGCCAAAAATTAGCCAATAAACGGAATGACGAGTATAGCCAATAATCGAAACGGATCCGTCGTCTCCGTCTTACTTACCTAAATAAAAATTCACTTTCAGAAATTCCAATTTTCTATCTTCTGAGTAAATATATAAGAGTGAATATTGACCGATAATCAAATTCAAAGGTAAGGACGTTACTTTGTTCTCTCGTTGGATTTTCACAATATTTTAATTTGTTAACAAGTTATTTGGAATATGAAAGGTATTATTTAAAAATGCTCACTACTCACTTATCACCTAAAAATTTAAAATATCGTTAAAAACGAAGGAAAGAACATAGTTTATGTACTTACCTTTAAGTGTAATCATTATAGAGCTGCTGCAATTCCCTGTAATATAAAAGATAACTACACGAATTCAAAGCTGCTGAACGTATACATTTTGGTACGTTTTGCGTTAATAAGACGGACACAAGTTCTAAAATAATGTTAAAATAATATAACTGAATAATGTGACATTCTATCGAAACTAGCGATTGGGCCGACCATCTCTCCGACTCTCACCGACTCTCTTAAAATATTATCCACTACACGTATATATTTCATTTAATATTGTATTATTGTTTTTCCATTCAAACAATTAATTTCAGAGCTATAGTACAGACGGAATGAGTCCAATGTCCATGTTTATAACAAACAAATAGGGTTTAAGTGAGACGATTGGTCAGAATAGTTTTTATTATAGTTATGCGATATTACTTAATTATAAATATTTGTAGCGATTTTTTAACGTGACAGATTATTTAATGAAGAATGTGATTATATACATGACGTCATGTATACAACAAAGTCCCAAATATTTTTAAAACTGCATCTTGTTTAGAAAATGATAATTTATTAATACTTGATACAAAATATTTTTTGCGTATACATATAAACGTATGAAATATTTTGGATCCAACTTCCTTTAAGAAACCTGAAAATCAAATCATTAACTTCTCTGACAAGCAAAAAATAAGCGATATGTAATAAAGGAAAGAAACACACACATTTTGTAAGACGAATTATACTTTTATCATTTGGTGCTCAGACTTGAGTGGATATAAAACTGACCTCATTAAAAAGTTAACTTCCATCGGTTTTCCTCAAAAACTTTCGATTTTTTTGAAATGATTTGTAGTAAAAAAATCTATTTTTTGTTTAGGAATCACAGTTATCATCCTAAATTTTGATAGATGAATCTATACCTTTAAAACCCTTGCATACCCTGTATACATACCTATTCATTGTGCATACTATTTTAAATTTTGATATTCAATTAAATATAAAACTTCTTTAAAAAGAAATTACAAATAATAGATAAATAGAACACCAATATAATATAACGGAGTTCAATTAATGTTCTTAACCGATAATTGTAGTATTGAACGTAGGCAATATATCATATTGTGCACAATTTCATGGATACGAGAAATTTGTTCATTGTCGGTTCCCTTGATATTTTCTTGGCCATAAAAGCACTAAATTTGACAGCAGTTAAAACTACAAAATAGGTACCTACTTAGCTACTTAGGTAATGTGTAATAAAGATCATTAGCTCAAAAATATATTCATGAATTGTAGAGCCTATTGTTAACAGCCATAATGTTTATAGATTTTATGATAATTTGATAGGGTTTAATCGATAGACACTTTTATTACGCATCATTAAATATTGACAGTAAATTAATAAAAAATAATTTATTGATAAAAATACTATTTATGATTCACTAAGTTTATTATTAAATGAATAAATCTTTTTAAAAATAGTTTCGACATATAATAGGTATTCATACACAGTTTTCAATTGACAACATTTTCGGCGATTAATTATAAATTTATACCTGTTTGCGTAGGCGAAGAATAGATAGCTCTTATTTGCTCTATAGACATAAACCTAGTTAATAATAAATTGTTATATTTTCCAACTATGACCCATCATTAAATATTAGTATTTATAAATTGTGTTTTGCTTTATCGATATAATAAATTATTTGTTTAGAATAGGTATAGATACTCGAAATAATTATTGTGTACTATAAGCCATTAACCGGGTGGGTGTATAATCATAATTTTGGTTCAATTAAGGGATGGCGTTAAAAATATTTAAAATATAGAATATGCTTCAAAGCCTCCACAATTTCACACCACCACTGTTGTGGTATGTTATAATATTATGTTTCTTATCTACATTAAGTGTATCATACATACACAACCTAACTATATAGGTTTCATTACAAAATAATTTATAACTAAATTTTTGATACCGTTTCAAAATTGTTGGTTAATTGATGATCATTAATGTTTTTAATATTTCAATGTTTAATCTCATATTCATATAACAAAAAATATAATAAATCACTTGTATAGGTGCGTCAAACATTAAGGAAAAATAATTTTAACAAATCAAAAGATTACATGCAATGTAAGACATATAACACCATATAAGACCTATGCATTTTCTAATTTAATTTCATAATAAAATATTTATCAAATTATTAATTAACGATATTTAGTTATAATTTCGCAAGGACAAAGTGAGATAAATAATGAATTTGTTTTATCAAAAAAAAAAAAAAAATACCGTATACATGTATTGTAATGTGTATAGGTTTAATATGGTTTTAAATTTCAATATTTTAAAATAACTAATTTATCAAATGTATTTATTTTGTACATAATTAATAAAAGTGCAACAAATAGCAGTATACAATACTATATATATTACATGTATAACAATATCTAATGAATTATAGTGATTTTACAAACATTTTTATATAATTTGAATCGGTAATTTATATGTTATACTCAATTTTGAATTGGAAAGAATAATATGACAAATTTTTGCACTAGAGAAACAATTTTAAGTTAAATGATATATTATAGCTTACGTATGCCATCACTGGTATTATTTAGAGGTCGCAATGGCGGTAAAATGATCTTGTCGTGGGGAGAGATGAGAATGTTTTATAAAACATGAACTTTGATCAATAAAATTTTAATTATTTTGAATCGATGTATTAATTAAAGACAACATAAACTATAATTTTAATTAATAGAAATTAAAATTTAGCCGTTATATCTAAATCAGTTTTTTTTGACATTTCATCGGATATTTCATTTAGAGCCTTAAGATACGAATCTAAACCAAGCCATTGAGACGGCTGTAGATTTACATAACAGTTATATATAATATGTTTAAATATAAAAATAAAAATTATCACTTTGAGCATAATTTTAATTGAACTATAAAATAAACGAGAAAAAACTCTGAAAAGTTATACTTTTTACTTAATCATATATATGTTTTATGTTTGAATTATTCATGAAATAGTTATTTTAATCATACAAACATTTTCTTTTAGCGCACATTTTATAAGTATCATATTTATCTCCACCTGCGCTTATTGTTTTTAAAATCAGAAAAAATTTAATTTGATGTCGAAAACTGTGAGTAGATAATAATCATATTTTATCAGATTATAAAAAATATATACTATTATTATTCACATTATATTTTTTTATAAACATATCAATAATAATATCGTTATGAAAATTGAAAAAAAAGGTAATGTGGTGGTGTTATACTTCTCATCTCTCCCCCTTTAGGTTAGATGTTTATAACTTGGTTTAAAATTAAAATATCAAAACAACCAAAGCATATTGCTCTTGATAATATTCAGATAGCACTACCTATTGAATTTTAAGTGATCGTAATAAATGTATGAATAATGTTTAACATTAAATTTGATTGAATATAGCACAAGGATAAAAAAAAATGACGATTGAACATAAATTTTGGCGTTTTACACTTTAATATCGTGATATTATTTGTCTTAACTTAAAAAATACCAGACGAAATATATTTTTTAGAAGTTGGCTGTTTTTAATATTATTTTGTTCAGATACTTTAATAGTTTTCGTGTATAAAAATTATAAGACTATCTCGGAGGTCGTGTACTTGATCTTTACTTTTTTTTCTACAAAAATATTTTTTTGAATTTAATCACCTACATTTAAGTTTTGTTATGTTATTTGTACGATAAACTGTAACAGTAAGACACAAGGCGTGCATAGGAGTAATTGCGATTAATATTGCATTAGAATCCATAGATATTACATTAAGTATATCAAATATACATGTTGCACTCCAGTGAAAATTACATAACCTAACGCTTATATTATGTTTCAGATCATGCATTTAGGATTTTTCGGGATAGCTACAGTATTGGATTTCTTTGAATTGATACCAAAGTCTATCATTATCGGTAAATTGGTCAACAAAATTCGAGAGTTGAATGACTTCTTCTTCATGACTGTGATGCTGCCAATATCTATGGTAAATACGTACTGTTTTTTTTTTCTAGCGATAAGCAATATTAAAATATAACATAAGTATTATAAATAAATAGGTAATAATTATTAATACGCATTAAATAACAATATTATATCTAATCAAAATAAACGGTGCATACGCATTTAGTCCTTTGAATGGGAAAAAATGATTTACTAATATTGAACCCCGGATATAAACGAAAAATATACTAATGAGTCCTAAGAATATTTTGAATAAAATATAAAATTAAGATATCATTATTCATTATTCGAGGCCATAAACGCGAAGATTTGGTGGGTGGGTTCACTTCATCTGCTCGAGTAGTTAATATCAACCTTAAATAGTTTTTTTATCATAATCAGTAAGTAACTATGGTGGCTACCTATATAAAATAAACTTATATAAACGTATAAAAATGTTTGATTTGTATCATGCATCTCAAATTCCTTGTGTGTACCACAATCACTCTTTAAAATCGTTTCTTAGTACCCCTCTTTATAGTGGTACAAACTTACTGTCGAAATGTTGAGTCTCTAGCTATCATAGTGTAGGCTCAGTCAGTTAGGACACTTTGTGATCATATATATTTATTTAAGCTATATTATAGATATTAAATATAATACACATAATAATCAAATTTTTCAAAATTAACATTTAAATAAAACATTTTTAACCACCTCTAACCCTTGTAGACATTTTTGTTGCAGACAGTCCTAAGTCTATAAAAATGGGGAGGGACATGTTTTTTTTTTTAAGTTTGACAAAACTCAGTTAGTCTTTGAACATGGGCCCAATTAGCATTATATTTAAGATTTCGCGCGGACTCAATAATTAGTGTACAACAACCAGGGATTCAATTAGTCATAAAAGATGTTATTCAGCTTATGTCAGTTCGTATGCAACAAAAATAAAATACTACAATGATTATTCTGTACATATAGTTTTTAAATTTAAATTGTTGTCACAATTATTTAAGAGGACGCCACACCACTCATAAAATAAAATTTGCAAGAAAATTTGTTTTGCGTGGGATAAACTTACGGAGACAGTTTCAGAGTCAGCCTTCCAACAGTTTTAGCATATACTCAGACGAAATTGATGTATGTCATAGCGTTTTATTTTTTCGATAACTTAAAGACAGTCAAAATTTTCTATTTTTTATTTATTTATGTGAAACATCTAATGTGGGGGGAGAGACAGACTGCAGTTGGCACGGCCAAGCGTCTTTAAAATAAAGAATAATCTTTCTTAAAAAGTTCAGAATATTTTGTTTTTGATTGTGCTAAGTTTTTTATTTTTATTAAACCATGCTTTTAATTATAGAAAATAATGTTGATGTTTCACAATTGCCACTGAACGACTCACTTTTTTTAAATTTGTTAAGGCCAAACAGTAGTTTTATCTATATATATAATATCCAAATACCACTTAGTCACTGATCGCTGTAACTCAGAAACTATGCAACGTACGATATTGAAATTTGGAATGTTCTTCTCATATTTTCACCGTGAATTAGGAAAGGATTTTCAAAGATGTTACGTATTAGTGGAGTAATTGGACGGCTGCTCGCGGTCTTTTAGCTACCTGCAACTCATTATTTTTGTCCTTCATGTAGATAAGAATTGTTCCGAGAAGTTATAGGGATATATTGTAAATATGAAAAAAACAAAAATACACACAGGCAAAGCCGGGTAATTCAGCTAGTAAAGAAATAAAATACCATTACTTAATACAATACAGAATCTAGATTTATAAATAATACAATTTATCGATAAAGTATCTTAAGCTCATATGTGTTCGAGATTTTTTTTTGGGGGGTGGGGCTGAAGCCCTTTTCTAATGATATATTGAATAAGCTTAAAAACATTTGGAAAAAGTTTGGGAAGGGCTTAATCCCTATTTGCGCTTATGCTTAAACTATTAATTATGAATAATAAAATAGCAGTCTTAGATAGTATTTCGAGTACAGTATTCGGAATACTTTTAAAATACTTTTCACAAAATTCTAAATAACTATTTAGAATTATAATTGTTTTCCTTGTTATGTTATATTCAAATTATTAAATTATTTATGTTGGTGTTAATTTCAAATTTTTTCGAAGAAAAGTACATATCATTGGTTTAATATTTAAAATGAACAATTAAAAAGTATTTTAAAAATATTTGAATATTTATTCCAAATACTTTATAAAAGTATTTTACCCAAGTCTGGATAAAATTTCCAAGTCAATTTAATTAAAATCTTAAGCAACTTAATTATTCACTCTTACAGTGTTTTCATTTGTTTATTATAAATTGAAACAGTATTGATAACAAAAATATAAAAATCTTGTGAAGTTGTGACACAGATAAATTTCTCTTCTATATAGTATTATAGTGTGAAAAATTACTAAATCTATTGTGTAAGCAATTTAGGTTGTCTGATACTCGTAAGTTTGTCCCGTGAGAAAGAGTTTTCCTATACAATCTCTTTATTACTCAACAACCTTATTATTGGTATTGACATGTGATCAAAATGTTATTAAAATTGACTATATTAAACCCCTTAAATATCTTGTGTGTGTCGACCTCTTAACCAAGTTTACTATTATTAATGGTTCACTACATATATTATTTGTTTATATTATATATAGGTATAAATTATTAGGTACCACATATGGGCATGGGGTCTAAAACCCTCATATAGCGATTTTATGTGGCCCTCGAGTAAAATTCATAATTTAATTTACATAAAAATAGATAATAATAATATTGCATGAAAAATCACACACGAAAGTAGTATGGACTGGAAACAGTGAATTAAAACGTTGTCGGTTCGTAGATAACTCGTTAAATTCATATACACCTAACAATAATTATGAGCTCAAATAAATTAAATTTGAAATTACTAAACATTTTTGTTTGAAATAAAATAGGTGGGTATATTCAAATATTGTGGCCCATAAAAGATGTATATTTATTTTTAGTGCATCAAAAATGTCGCCAACCCCTTTAGTGTTACACTAATCGTTTACACGTTATTTGTAAAATATTATGTTACAGTGCGTGTGTAGCGGATTTTGGTCTGCATGGGTATTATTCAATGACATTATTTATCCATCAGCTGTAAACAATGTCGTACCAGTATTTATCAATCACGTGTCACATACAACTCCTATTTTCGTTGTGTTTATTGAATTGTGTCTCTGTTACCATGCATCGCCAAGAGTGAAACCAGCCATTGCCAGTCTCGTCACCGTTGAAACTATTTACCTTTTCACGTAAGCAAAACCGTCTGTAATTTATTATATTATTACAGTCGAGTCTGGATAGCTCAAATAATAAATAAAAACAAAAATAAATTCTAAAACGTAACTTAGGAATAAAAATCGAGTTATCGAGGTTCGACTGTATATATTGTAAGTTGTAATGCTATGTACGTTTAGGTAATAAATAATAAATAGTAAGTATATATTTAACTATGTGTACATAGACCAATATAATAGAGGATGAAGTGATTTAACTTTTAATTAAATTAGACATTTTTAATAATCTCTGAGTGGTGCCGACAAGCGAAAAATTGTTTGAAAAAATATTTGATGTTCTATAAATCAGAGGTTCTCAAACTTTTACTATCGCACTCATGTGTATTACCATATACAATGTACATGCATAAAATGTACCGCTTATGGCTTATTGACTAAAAATAGAACTATTTGAAATTTCTATACATTTATCACAATATTATAATATGTGAAAAAATATTGACTTAGGTATATTTAACAGTATTTAGTAGTAGGTTTAAGGTTATCTATTTACACAAAATATAAAAAATAATATTAGATCCATTACAATTAAACGTCAGTAAAATAAATATTTATTTATTAATTTTCTGGCGTACTACCTCCGCACGGCCTTCCACGTATATACCACTATGTTGCGCCTTCTATGTACCACCAGTGGTACGCGTACCATAATTTGAGAACCACTGCTATATACCAAAACTACCTGTAACTCGCACCGGATATATCTAGTATTAATTGTTGCAATAAACGTTTTCAATTGCAGGTTGTCAATAAATATGTTGTATTATCTTTTGTCGTGGCTTAACTTCGGTACTATAATTTTGTACTGCAACGAGTTATAAAATATATTACGAAAACGCAGAACCTTACCATACCCCCCTTAAAAATGTAAAAATATTCCTTTCCCAAACCGAAAAAAGTTTTGATTAAAATACTGTCCTAGATGTTGAAATAGGTTTAAAAATATTGTTCATATTTGGAACGGATGCGACTATTTAGTATTTAATGACTAATAAGGGGCTACATTTCACAATATAACATACACGATACACACATTATCTCAAGAACATAAAAACCATTTGACGAATAGATGATACACTTAGGTGATGCCGTTTAATAGAATTCAGTTTCTAAGTAATTAATATGACTCGTTTGAATGATTTTTTTTAAAGTCAAGATGACAAAATTCTAAACGGTGAATTTACCTTGAAAAAATTAAGTCCTATTTCAACTATTTTTTTTATTAAAATTCCCAGTTGATTTCTCACAATTTTCCAAATATTTCAACTTTCTTTACTTTAATACATTACAAATCTCCAAATCTAGAATAGTTCTTTTCCTTTAATAGATTGTACTCTTTCTAATGAATTGATTGATTGATTTAAATTGGATAGTATGACAACTTCAGTTAGTTATAGTTTTAGTATTTTTTTTCCAGAAAATAACTCGGCCTTTGATAAAAATTACGTTTTTTAGAAATGTTTTTATTATATTTTATTCTTGATCAATGTCAATGTCATTGGCAAGGATGATTGACGTCAACAATAGTTATATTGATGTATTTTTTGTGAAGTACGTCATAACTCATAAGCACTCAGGCTCGCGACCTAATGATTATTCGATGTGCGTACTATACGCGTCTGATGTTGGTGTTACACTTGAATCGTGGGGAAACAGTTTCTGTATAAATCTGTTAAAAAAATATAAATATTAAAATTGAAAACTCCAACTAAAACAATAGCGGACACGGACGGATCCAGAGAAAGAACTAGAGTACATAAACCCATGTACAAACTAGTTCATAGATCCATGGGCTGGAGCCACCACCACCATTATTGACATAATAATTTTTTTCCTCTAATTCATCGGGTCCTGATAATACAATAATGATAATACGTATGTTTTTTATGTCATCAGGATGATCACGTTGCGAATTCAACACGGCAGATGGGTATACTTAGTGATCGACATTTACGTAAACACAATTCCAAAATTTATCTTCGTGTTTTCGTTCCTTAGTTACATCATACCTATTATCTTCCTACTCAGTTGTCTCCGAATGAATAACTACATCTGGGGTGAGTTTATTACAATCTACTTTGTTACGTACAACTTTTTTGTGGTATAGTTGCCGAATCTCGATAGCTCGAATCTCATGAAGAATAAAAATAAATTTTACATAGGTATTTTTCGAATTGTTTACCTCAAACACGACTCAAAAACCCTTCAATGGGCGAGAAAAAAGATTTGAGGTATCGAGACTCGACTGTGTGGTATAATACACAGATATAAGTGGTATATAGTGTGTATACAACGGATATAACGATAAAGAAATAGGTACCACATAATATTTCAAACACATGACCACTGTACATTTCATTTAAGTTTTTTACGGCATTTAAATTTTTCAAAAATGAGTGTAATATTATTATGCCCTTTGTGCACGTTTAAAAAACCAAAACGAAATTCGTGGCTATGCGTTCATAACAATATTCTGTGTTACCTTTAACGTTGAACACACATACGCATACATTTAGAGAGAGATAGACACACCAAGCACACACTTACATGAATTAACAATGAGAACATTGCACTCAAACGTTTTGTTTTTCATTTTAGGTTTGAAAACTAACGGACGCGTTTCCAAAGACGTTTCTTTCCAACGTAATAAAAAAATCACGTGAAGAGCTACCTGTGGTCTTGCCAAAATTTTCTCTGTTACCATTTTTATATTGTGTACCTACACAGATATCTATATATCTGATATATCTATATACCTGTTCTATCTATATACATAGATATTTGTGGTTTTGAATAGTAATATAATAATGTACATTATATTATTGTAATTGTTTTATTTTGACATAGGTAATTAGCAAATGGCCGTCTGGACTATATTATAACACTGTTATATTATTATCAGTAATCTTAAACGAGAAATTTAAGTGTACAATACATAACACATTTTATTATGTTACATACGTATTCCTTCCATTTTTTTTTTTTGAAAATGAAACAAGCATGTTTAATTTAGTACCTATTTAGATATACTATATAATTTACATTTGTATAGATAATGTATCTGATGGTCTCAAATGTGATTTTTTTTCTTTAAATATATCTAATACAACTATATATTTATGTATGACTCCGTTGATTGTCCATCGATTTCTACTATTATTGAAAACAAAAACAATGCACATCAGTACATCACGATTGTTAATATAAAGTTGTAAAAGTTATCCACGTGGAATCAATGTTTTTATCGAATAAGAAATGTACCTACCTTTTATTTCTTATTTATTTATTTGTTATTATTTATTAAGGGGATAAAGCCATTAAGTGGTGAAGGTATTCTGTACATTTTGTAAATATACTATACACATACAATAATTAATACAACAAAAATTCGAAATAACATCGGAGTACAATATTATTCATGAATATTGGATAATAATTGACTAATTGATTACATGACTTAGGTACCCGGTATATTATCTGACTGTTATTTACATAATTCTCTTTAAATGGGGCATGAAAAGTAGATTTTTTTCTAGAATTAAAAACAGGGACACTAAAACTAATCTGTTATACAAATCCAGGACAATAATCATAGCGTTTATTAACGTCTTGTACGCGAACACTGCATTAGAATACTTCCGACGGGCGTAGCTTTAATGATATACTAAGCCCACGATTCTCAAACTTTTTAATCCGCTTAGCCCTTATATTAATACAAAAATACTACTGAGCCCTAAAAATTAGGAATACACATAAAATATACATAACTCATGAAAAAAAGACATATATGAATTGCATATTAATTTGTTTCTTTATTATATAATCATAATAAAAGGACATACCTAAGAAACAAAAGCAATAATATAACCATCAACCAGCTCGCATCTAATACAACTTCGATCACAATATAAAATATGCGGGTTATTAACAATAAAATAGACATGATAAATCAAATACTATTTTATTTTGTTTTAAATTCAGATATGTCCCCGGAGCCCCTAGATTACTTTCACGGAGCCCCAGCACAGTTTGAGAACCACTGTACTAGACCAATTGCCGTTTTTAGGCTCAGATTCATCCATAAGCTTTCTATCCTTTGATTATACCCACGCGAATTAAATAACATAAATGTAATCGTGTGGCAGAGCGCATCATGCGACAAGCGCCCTGTAATCGCTAGTAGATCGCATTTTGTGGTAAAGGGCATGCGAAAAGATAGCCATAAAATAAACTCACGATGTTTACTATATGATTAAATAGAAAAAGGTCGCTCCGCTTAGAATCTAAAAAATATCATAAAGAATAATAGACATAGACTGATAGACCACATCCACTCAGAATCGTTTTGAGTACACAATGAATAATGATTGGGTTCAAATTTAACACACCCATTACAGTGAGCCACTCGACACCCACTGTTCAGTAGAGCTGTACCCACTATACCACCTTTTTAAAAATATATAATTATAAGTTATAGCACAACATTATATTATTACGTATACTTACATAAATTTATCTATTTATGTGGTTATTTTAGTGAATTTTATGAACCACTAAAATTCTACATGGCAACTCGTATATAATACAATCTCTAAATACCAAGTGATTGTCGGATAGGCGTTTTCATTTACGACGATAAGGATGAGAGGAGGCTGTTCGTTTATTTCTGGAGGCATAGTACTGATAAATTTCCATACAACATTTTTTTTTTTCGGTCGAAATCGAAATATACAATAACATTTGGCGGAAAACGGACATTATGTTCATGATAATTATTTATGTACACGTATAACAGTTGAGGGTCACTTTTATTGGAACGGAAAACGGGAAAACCCCCACGACACACAGGGCCCCGTCGCGGGAGGGTCACGTGCCTACCTCCACCTTGATATCTGCGGTGCGGCCCTCGGAATGTCTGTACCTATATAATATATACATCATGAACGCGCTCGGCAGTCACAGACGACGCGCCGTCAGTGTTTTTTTAACGGTAAAAAAAACAACGGCGGGACGACTTGCAATACGTCAATACTGCGTACAACCGCCGATTCGGTAGGCACCGAACGTCCGAACATCGATTTCAAACGACGCTGCGCCGTCGCCAAAACTGGCCGTCAGAGTGTCGTTCGTTCCATTGGCGTGATTCCATTGGATTTCAACTGCAAGTGCGCGAAATACCTTTCATCGGCCAGATGATCACGATTGCAGAGCCGAAATAATATCAAGTCGTAATATTAAAGCCGACCGCGACCAGCTTGGGTTGTGCACGCTATATTTTTGTATATTTTGATTACCAGCCACAACTGCGGAGACGTCGAAAACTGAATAATATAATTGTAACACTGTGTTCTTATGCCTGTTCCAGGGGCGGTGTCCCTGAGACGTCGTCTCCCCAATATTAAACGAAACACGCAAAAAAAAAATTGTATATATTTTATGTATTGGTTTTTATAGTAAATAGTACGTACGTCTGAAAAATATATAAATTAAAAATATACATACAATTGTCAAAATTGCTATCAATAATCTCATTTATAATAGTAAAATGTTAGATATCTATTATGATTAAATTTATAATTATTGTATTTTTTCTAACCCTCCCCCCCCCACCCTCTTCCATTTCAGATTTCCAGATCAGTGACTGCAGGATATCGATGAGGTTGCGCGAATGGGCCATACTGAATTTTAAAAAGACGGGTTTAATAGTTTAAAAAAACAGAAATTGTACTAAAAATCTCGAGAATTTGAAAATATGTCCCTAAGTAGTCTCTTGTCAAGCCACTGGCATTCGTTACAGCATTTTACGTCACCTCATTATAATGTAATATATTTATTTCAATTTTTTACGGACCCTTCAGCAGTGGTGCATCGTTTGGAATCGATTTCACAATTTATTATGTCATGAGCTCGCAAGTCATTCCATCTCGCCGGCCGCGCACGGTGGTCGGGTGGTTTGAAATATAACCTCGTATAGTCAGAGTTGAATAATGATAAGAAATCATTATTGTCAACAATTCATTCAATACAATTATACCAACTATGAATTAATGGGAACAATAGTAATTAAAACGATTATCAATGTGACAATAAAGTGCAATAATTATATAATAATTAGATACGTCACACTTACACTTCCTGTCAATTAGATCTTAGCTTTATACAGGGAGATTCATGTTACGTTAGATACTCACTCAATAACGTTTTTAAAAATATTTTTTTTACATAATATTAAAAGTTTAAAAAAAATATTTTTCATATCCCTTTATGTTTCATAACAATATGTATTTTTAATTCCTATAATTCCAAAGCAGAATATTTTAATACATTAATCAAGTTAGCAGGAATATAAATCGGGGTGGGGGGGGGAGGGAAGTAAAAAATCACTCATAATTTACTACATATTATTTTTTTTTTACAAGTGATGAAACAATTAATATTAACTAAAATTGCAGGAGGAGCATTGCCCCTTTATGTGCGCCCTTGAAAAAAAATCAAATTTTTGACAAGCACCTCATAAATATTTATAGTTTAGATGAGCGGAGTGGAGTAGTACTACAGGTGTACACCAAAAAATGATTGTCCAAAATTTGATTCTTATAGATCGAAGTACTCTGAACAATATCTAGCCTTGGAATAGGTATGTGAAATGAATAATGTACTTATGTTGTCATTCAAAAGAGTAAAAAATTCAAAAATTATAACGATAGAAGGGGAAAAAAATATTTTTTTTCCAAAAATGTTTACTTAATAAACTTTCTATCTTTTTTACTCATAAAAAACTGTCTATCTACTTCTAACAGCTTTAAACAATTTATTTAAATTACTGTTATTAATACCAAAGAATAAATAGAATTTGATTCACTACATTTCATTTGTTCAGTGGTAACAATGCACTTCTTTTTTCGTAAAATATCGCTTAACTCTCTCTGTTATGTAAAAAAGTTTGTACACATAAAGTTGTGTCGTGTTCATTACCATGGCCAATTTTCGAGTTCTTTTGTAAATTTTAAGACATATAGAAAGAGGTTTCAGATATCAGATGAAGAGCTCGCGATACTAAAAAACGAACAATATCAAAGAATATAAAGGCAAAATCAGAGAAAAGTATAAACGAAAACGCTCCAAGACTTAAAAGTATCACGACAAAAAATCAAAGAAACAAAAATTAGAGAAAAACAAATAGATGAGTCTAAATATTAAGATATCGGTAAATACGTTATGTGACGGAAAAATGTTATAATTGCTTCGTTTTTTAAAAATGAAAAGAGGGGATTTTCAAACGCTTGCCGTTGCCACAGAAAATGTGATGGCAGACACAAAAAACAAAAAACAAATAATGATTAAAAACAAACAACACACAACCAATGTGCAAAGTATACATTGATAAACACGAAATTAAATATAATAATATATCGTTGTACACTTATACGGATGGCTTAAATTAAAACAAATCACAATCCTCATATTATTATTGGAGGATATATTTATCAACGTTTGTCAATTTATTCGGTTATTTCATTAACTTTTTTTTTTACCATTTTGATACAACAGTCAAATAATGCGATGATTATATACTGTATTTTTTGAATGAAAATATTATATGTATTATTATAATGTAGAGATCCTTATGTACAAACCGATAATTGAAACTGTTTTAATATTATGGGTAAGTGGGTATAGACAATCTCGGAAACAGGTCTACAACTATAAACGATTATAAATTGGAAAGGTTTAGTGAAAAACAATGTGCCTGCAGTTGGCCGAAGTCAGATTACTATTATTAAAATATAAATTCGTAGTTCATGTGTATTAGATTGCCCTTAAAAATTTCACGATCAAATCATCCGAATAGCCTAAAGTGTCAGCGAAAGTAACTATATATACTTTTCATTTTATTTCTCGCTTTTAATTCCCGTGCATTTTTTCTAATAATATATTCTGCAGTCTACAGCTATTAATTTATTAGAAAATAATTTAACTGTATATAATGCACTGCACTGGACACACAAAATTGCCGATCGGTTATTATATTTGTAACGACTAGAAAAAAAAATATAGACGTGTATTATTATAATACTATTATTATATATAGAACATATTATATAGGTACGCGCAC